ACAGTTTGTCTCCAGTAAGGCTCAGTAAATGTTGGCTGCTGTTATTATTTGATTGTTAATGAGAGTTTTGACATGTGCTGGTGTCCATGGTAATGGGTGGGTGTGAGACCTACCTGGGCATCCTCCCTTTGCCTGAGAAAGGCACAGCCTGTGTTTGGGGCTCCCATCCCTATGAATTGAGCTGTCCGAAAGGACAGCGTGGGCAACACCAACCCCAGATGCCCTCTGCTCACACTTAAGAGCCTCTCAGGGCGTTCCTCACAGCACACAGACCTGTCCACTGCTCTGTGTGGGGAGGTCCCGGGAGCAGAGATCCTCAGCCTGTGGCCTGGGCCAGCGTGCCCCCCAGTGGCCGAGGCTGGGAGCGCGGCTGTGTGCCTTGCTTGTCCCGGCCGCTGCTCAGGGGGCGTCTGCTTCCTCAGACCGGCAGGACCTGGAGCAGCCCGACAGGGTGGACATGCTTCAAGAGCCGCTGCTGGAGGCCCTGAAGGTCTATGTGCGGAAACGGAGGCCCAGCCGCCCCCACATGTTCCCCAAGATGCTGATGAAGATCACAGACCTGCGAAGCATCAGTGCAAAGGGTGAGGCTCATGCCCTGTGTGTCCGCCAGAGCTGGACTCCAACACCCTGCCCGGGACCCCCCCTGCCCATGCCCAGAGTCAGGCTCCCTACATGTGAGCTGATGCCCTATGCTTTTGTGCCCATGACGATGCCCCACTCATCTGGACTTCACCGGGTCCACATGACCTGCTTGTGAGCTCGAAGCTGGCATTGTCACCTTTGCACGGTAGTTGAGGGCATGGCTTTGCCACCAGAGTGTATGGGTGTGCACTGAGCAGCTCTGAGCCTCACCTTCCCATCTGAGGAATGGGGATGATAGTGGTGTTCACAGCTGTTCTTGAGGTCTGTAGGAGAATCCATAACACACAGCACACAGGAGCCCTAGGCAGTCTGATGTCAGGGCCTGAGCTTGAAACAGCTGCTGCCCCTAGACTTGGCGGCTCAAGAGAGTTGGCTTCCGTCGAAGAACTGAGGCCCGAGTTCGGTCCATAGTGGATGTCCATGTTGGTAGAACCGGCCCTCCCACCCGTGCCCCCTCCCTCCTGGAGCTTTGTGAGGCCGGACCGGTGTGCTGACCTCAGCTCCTCCTCTCCTGCAGGGGCTGAGCGGGTGATCACGCTGAAGATGGAGATCCCGGGCTCCATGCCACCTCTCATCCAGGAAATGCTGGAGAACTCCGAGGGCCTGGACACTCTGAGCGGACAGCCGGGGGGCGGGGGGCGGGATGGGGGCGGCCTGGCCCCCCCACCCGGCAGCTGTAGCCCTAGCCTCAGCCCCAGCTCAAACAGAAGCAGCCCGGCCACCCACTCCCCGTGACTGCCCGTGCCCGGTGGACACAGCCCTCACCCCACGCCCTGGCTTTTCTCTGCCTTTCTACCAACCATGAGACCCCTGCCGGCCCTACCCCCCCAACCTGTCCTCCCTTTCCTCGGGGACAGGAGGGAGGAGGCGGTGACTCTTCAGATGGAGGCCTGGGCAGGAAGGACTGCCTGCTCCTGCAGCCTGAGCTGACATCACGGGCAAGGTCATGAACTGCGTGCGGACCGCTGGTCCTGGGCCTCAGGATGGAGCCTGGGGGCCTTGTGTTCATCAAGACAGCCCTCTGCCCCCCTCGCCACATCTTCATCACCAGCAAATGCCAGGACCTGGCTCCCCCATACTCAGAACCCGCAAGCCATTGCCCCCCGGTCGGGAACCCCCCCCTGCCTTGGTTGGTGACAGAGGGGGTGGGCCAGAGGGGTGGGGGGTTCCTCCTGTACATACCCTGCCATACCAACCCCCAGGTATTAATTCTCGCTGGTTTTTGTTTTTATTTTAATTTTTTTTTTGGTTTTGATTTTTTTTAATAAGAATTTTCATTTTAAGCACATTTATACTGAAGGAATCTGTGCTGTGTATTGGGGGGAGCTGGATCCAGAGCTGGAGGGGGGTGGGTCTGGGAGGGGGGAGTGGCCCGGAAGGGGCTCCCACTCTCTCTCCATGTCCCCGCACCCCCTAGCCCTCCTCCCCAGCCTTTTCCTCCTCAGTTTTCTCTTTAAAACTGTGAAGTACTAACTTTCCGAGGTCTGCCCTCCCCTACTCCCTCTGCCTAACCACTGAGTGTGGACAGTTTCAGGCAGCCCCCAGAATGAGGAGGCTTCCCACGAGAGAGGGCAGGGGCCCAGCAAGGGGGGGCCTCAACATACCCGTGTGTTTCTCAGCCCCGTGGCCTCGGCAGAGCTGCCTGTCCAGCAGGGCTCGCGTCATCCAAGCCCTCCAGCCCCCACCGTGAAGGGGCTGACCAAGGAGTTCAAGCTGCACCTGTCCCCCAGCCTCACAGCCACCAGCACTGCCCACAGGGCCCCTAGACACACACACACACACACACACACACACACACACACACACACACACACACCCCTGGACAGATGGGCCAACAGACACACTTGGCCTGAGTTCCTCCCATTTCCCTAGCCTGCCCCCCGCCCCTCACTCCATACCTGTACCCCCTCCTTGCCCCGCAGGACGGGCCTCCAGGGGGTCCCCTCCCCTCACCCCCTGCACCCCCAGGCTGGGGGAGCTGGCTCTGCCCTGCCCTCCTTGCCCCGGGGTTGGGGTCTCATCCCCTCAGAGCCCGCTGGTGCGCCTGTTACTGTTGGACTTTCCACTGAGATCTACTGGATAAAGAATAAAGTTATATTTATTCTACACGTGCCTCAGAGCCTCACTGCCTAGCTGCCTTCTCTCACGGTGTGGGCAGGGAGCTGGGGATGGGGGGTTGGGTATGAGCAGGGGGGACAAGTCGCCTGCCTGGCTGTGCTGGGGTCTCTGGTGGAACAAGCTAGGCCTCGTCTAGGGGTCTACACAGCCCATGTCAGGGAGTTCCAGTCTGGAGGTGGGGAGGGGACAGGAGGAACTGTTCCCGTCTTCAGAGAGTCCCCAGTCCGAGGGAGGAAGCCAGCCCCTGCCTTCAGAGAGTCCCCAGCCCTTGGAAGCCAGGGCTTGGGTCTGGGGGGGGGTCACTAAGTGGCAAAGGAGTTCTATTTTGGACTCAACCTTGAGGAGTGGTAGTTGGCATGGGTACCTGGGTCAGGAGCCCTTGGTAACCTAACAGGAACATAGGATTGGGGGGGAAGCTTAGAAGGCCATCCCATCCATCCCGGTGCCACCAAGAAGGACTGTCCTGCCCTCCCCTGCCTGCCCTTGAAGTCACTCTGTGGGCAGGAGGCACAGAAGACAGGTTGCAGGGGAACCTGGTTGCTCCTGGTTGAGAGGATCAGTTGTGACAGGCGGGTAGTGGCATCAAAGACCAATTTTGGGGCAGCCCCAGTGGGTCAGCAGTTTAGCGCCGCCTTCAGCCCAGGGCGTGATTCTGGAGACTCGGGATCCAGTCCAATGTCGGGCTCCCTGCGTGGAGCCTGCTTCTCCCTCTGCCTGTGTCTCTGCCTCTCTCTCTCTCTCTCTCTCTCTCTCTCTCTCTCTCTCTCTCTGTGTGTGTGTGTCTCTCATGAATAAATAAATAAAATCTTAAAAAAAAAAGAGCAATTTTGTCCACCCTTCACACTACACGTCAAGGCCCAGTGAGGGCAGTGTCCTTGGGTCACACAGTGAATTCATCGCAGATGGGGGACCAGTACTCAGGACTCCCACGCCTCAGCCAGAGATCTTTCCTGGAGCCCTGATGTCCCCAGTGAAGCGGCAAGCACTGAGGTCTGAGGGTCCTGGGGGGTGGCAGTGTAGGCTGTGTCTGGGGGCGGTTAGCAGGGCGCCTGGGCAGGGTGAGCTCCTTCCATGGGGGTGGGGTGCCTGCTATTTCTATTTCGGCCACCGGGTGGCGGCAGCGCCTCACTTATCTCGCCGTCCGGCGGGCCAGCGAGCGTGTGGGGACAGGGGTTCTCGTCCTCCAGCAAATCTTTTCTGACACTTTGACTAGGACGGAAATTTAACATAACATACCTGTCCACTTGCTTTACAAAAATCACTATGCTATCACCCTGCAGCGTAAAGGAGAAACAAAGGGAAAGGATTATGAATTTCAGTGTGTTTTTGCCCATGATGACATCATCCTATGATTGCTTCTGCTTTTAATTAATACATTGGGATTTAAAAGATGTGAGAAGGTTGGAAGCCATTCGGTACAAGAAGCCCAGGAAACTTAAGGAGTATGGGTGAATGTTCAAATAAAAGCTGACAATATATAATAAAACCGTACCAAAAAAAGAAAAAAAAAAGTCCCCAAACAAAACCCTAATAATGTCTTATATGTAAAACAGATCAGGCTTTGGACTCAGGCAATTATAGAGAGGTTTTTCATTGTGTGACTGTCCCGTGGGACATCTTAAAGTCATGTGTGACCTTTCTTCATTAAGATTTTATTTATTTATTCATGAGAGACACAGAGAGAGAGAGGGAGACAGAGACACAGGCAAAGGGAGAAGCAGGCTCCATGCAGGGAGCCCGACGCGGCCTTCGGGACTCGATCCCGATCCTGAGTATCCAGGATCACGCCCTGGGCTGAAGGCGGCGCTAAACCGCTGAGCCACCCGGGCTGTCCTCTTTCTTTTTTTTTTAAAGTAAGCCCTGCACCTGACCTGGAGCTCAAACTTATGACCCCAAGATCAAGAGTCACATGCTCTACCGACTGAGCCACAGGTGACCCACATGTGACAACTCTGTGCTGTAGGAGGGCATCATTTCATTCCTGGCCTCTGCCTACCAAATGCCAAGAGGGTCGCCCTCACTGTGGCGACTAAAGCAGCAGCCCCACATTTACAAAGTGCCCCCTGCCCCAGTAGTACCTTTGGCTGGGGCTTGAGGCTGCTCTCCGTGGCTCACAGTCCATCGCTGCTGAGTGGTTTCTCAACCACCACACAAGTGACATTTTGGGCTTAGGGATTCTTTGTTGGGGTGGGGGGGCCGTCCTGTGCACGGGGTGGGGGGATGTTTAGCAGTATCTCTGGCCTCCCACGGGGCATTTAACCAGGCCTGGGGCAAATATCAGAAGGCTTCGTGGAAGAGGTGCCCCCTCCCAGCTGAAGGTCTAAGGGGAAGAGTCAGCAAGCAGGGGCACAGAGGTGATAAATAGCTTCATGTGATCACAAACTGTCACCAGCTCTGTGCTTTAACCATTTCCGTTGGAATGCTGGAAGAAGTAAGTTGGAGAGGCAGGGATGGGCGCAGGCCAGGGCTGGTTCAGGAGCCGGACTTGACCCTGAGAGTGATGGGAGTGAAGGATTTCAAGCCAGTGAGCTAGCTGTTCAGATGGGAATTGCAGGGAGCAGAGTGGAAGCCGTGGTTGCTCTCCAGGCCACCGGTGACAGGGCTGGCCCTGGGCAGACTCTGGAGGGGTGAGAGTGCATGAGGGGAAGAATGCTTAAGTGGCAAAATGGGAGACCAGGTGATTGACAGGACATGGGAGGCGGGCAGAAGACAGGCTTTGGCAGTAGTGGGTGGAGGTGGCCTGGGTGGATGGAGATATCAACATTGAGACGGGACACTAAGGCAGTTGGGGTTGCATTTGAGGTGCTGGGGACCCCCACTCCCATCCCTTACTCTATTCCAGCCACATGGGCCTTCTTGCTGCCCTCAAATACCCCCAACGTATTCCTGCCTCAGGGCCTTTGCACTCACCATTCCCTCCACCTGGAATGCCCTTCCTGGAGGCAGCTTCAGGGCTAGCTCTTTGCTACATTCTGTTCCAGTGTCACGCCTCAGGGATAGTCACTGTCTCGCCTTATTTTGAGCAGTACCTGGTGGTATATTCTACTGCCTGCCTTCCCAACCAGAATGTAAGCTTCACGAAGGCAGGTTTTGTTCACCACTGAAGCCCAATGTCAAGTTTACTCTGTTTGATACAGTTGTCACTAGCCAAGTGTGGTGACTGGGTCTTCAAAATGTGGCTGGTCCAAACTGAGATATGCTCTAAGCATAAAACACATACCAGATTTCAAAGACTTAGTACAAAAAAATGAATGTAAAATATCTCCTTAAGACTTCTTTATATCGATGATGTGTTGAAATGACATTCTGGATATACTGGGTTAAAGAAAATATGTTATTAAAATTGCTTTCATCTGTTTCCTTTTACTTTTTAATGTAGCTAATGGAAAATTTAAAATTACACATGTGGCTCACATCCTATTTCTCTTGCACAGTGCTGATCTTGAACATTGCCTGGCGTATAGTATGTGCTCAACAAATATTTCTTGAATGAACACATCTGGAAAACAGCTGGATATCCCCATCTGAATTTGTTGGAGGTCCAGGCTTTGCACACATAACTGACTGTCATCAGAGAGATGTTGCTGCCTGCCATGAGCATGGATAAGCCTTTGGGCCCCAGAGACACCTTCAGTTCCTCATCAACACAAATTTACTAAGCACCTACTATGGGCCAGTGTGGAGGAGCAAGCAATGCCATCCAGCAGACGTGCTCTGCCTGCAGAAGCATGGGTGCCATGGGGCACCTAGTTCTGACTTGGGTGTGGGCACTGTGAGGGAAGGCATCTATTTCTTCCCAAATGAGACCAAAAGGGAGGCAGGAATTAGCTAGGTGAGGTGGGAGTGCTGCAGACAGGCAGGCTGCTCCAGGCCAAGAAACAGCACGTTCTAACATCTAGAAGGAGATTGGTCACTATGCCTGGTAAGAAGAGGAAAAACTCTATGCTTTGAGCACAGAAACCATAGGAAGCCCATGCAGTGGGGCTGGGGCCAGGTGGGACAGGGTTGGGACTTCAGAAGCCTCATCCAGGCACTGGACTTATCCTGATGACAGGGAGCCCTCGAGAGTGTAAGCAGGAGGACCATTTGGAAAGACCCCTCTGCCCGCTGTGTGCCGTACGGGCCGGAGAGTCCAGGACAAAGAGGGGAGGACCAGGGACATAGGAGAAAAGACGGCAGAGTGGGTGGTGGTGGCCTGCTCAGCAGGGTTGGATAACGCCCAGGGCGTGGTCAGACGGGGCCGCTGGATGTCACTTAAGTCCTGGGTGAGCTTATGGAGATCAGCACCGCTGGGGTACAAGGGAGGAAGACAGATGGGGCAGAGAAGATACAGGAGGGGGACAAGAGGTAGCCAAGTATCCCCCCAGGAGGGAAGATGGTGGTGGCTGCAGGGAAATGCAGGGCCCGGAGCACGTTTTAGGGCACATTTCTTTTGAGGATGGAAGGAACTTGGCCATGTTTATGAACCTGGGGAACAGCAGCCAGGTGAGGAAGTGAAGACAGAAAAGAATCCTGCTGACCCTACTGCCCACCCCCACTCTGCTTCCATCAAAGGGAGGGTTTGGCCACCCTGGTCTGGGGACACGGTTGAGTGTGTGGATGGTGCCCACAAGCCCTACGGCTCTGGGGCGTGCCCAGGGGGAAGGGGCACCTCTCTCCTCCCTGCGTGGGCTCCATTAAGAGCGGAGAGCTTCTGCAGTGCCACTGCGGCTGTTGTTGGCACCTTACCAGAGATGTCTCTCTCCCATTGTCCCTCACAGCCACACATAGACAGACATACACACTCACACAGGACATACAGATGCACACATGCACAGGACTCACACACACAAGGTATACACACACACGGAGAGCCTGCGTAGGATGTAGCTGTGCACACGCACATGCACACACACAGGTCACAGAGGACACATGCATGCACGCGCGCACACACAGCTCACACGGGTCTTACATGTGCACATGCACACACAGCCCACGCCATACCTAGTGTACATGTGAGCACACACCTAGGGCGGCCACCCAGCGTGAACAAGGAGAGGCCCTCGGGAAGCTGGTGTCGCGATTCTGTTTCCTGGGCACCACCGGAACCTCCGTTTTGCGCCCTGCTGTGTCCTCTTACGCACTCTGCCCCAGCGGCCCCCGTCCCTTTCCCTGCCACGTGGATGAGGCGGGCATCGCGCCCTGCCGCAGCTCATCCTCCGGCCCCACCGCCACCGCCACCGCCACCGCCACCGAGAGCGCCGGGAAGCGCCCGGGCGGGCAAGGTCGCGGGCACAGCCCGGCGGGGCCCCTGCGGCCCGCGCCTAGATGGCCAGGTCCAGGCGGGCGGTGGCCGGGGGCGCCTTGCCGCGGCCGCTGCCGCCCTCGGCGTCGCGGGCGGGCGCGGGGTGCGCATAGGCGGGCGGGGCGCGGGGGGCGGGGCGCGGCGGCGGCGGCGGCGGCGGCGGCGGCGGCGGCGGGAGCAGCTGCGCCCCCTCGTGCGCGCGGTGGCGGCGGCCGGCGCGCGGGCGGCCCTTCCAGAGCAGGTGGCCCAGCTCGGCCACGCTGAGCAGCGCCGAGAGCAGCCCGACGGCGAAGTAGAAGAGCACGAAGACGGTCTTCTCGGTGGGGCGGCTCACGAAGCAGTCCACGGTGTGCGGGCAGGGCGCGCCGGCGCACGCGAAGTGCGGGGCCACGCGGAAGCCGTAGAGCAGCGCCTGGGCCGCCAGGAAGGCCAGCTCGGCCAGCAGGCGCAGCGCCACGCTCAGCAGGTAGCAGCGGCGGCGCGGGGACGGCCCGGGGCCCGCCTCCGCCTCCGCGCCCCCCGCGCCCCCCGCGCCCCCCGCGCCGCCCGCGCCCCCCGCGCCCGCCGCGCCCGCGCCCTTGCCCGCCCGGTGCACCGCGTAGATGACGAAGAGCACGGGCGGCGCCGACAGCAGCAGGATGTGGAAGAGCCAGAAGCGGTAGTGCGAGACGGGGAAGGCGCGGTCGTAGCACGTCTGGCGGCAGCCCGGCTGCAGCGTGTTGCACACGAACTCCTCCTGCTCGTCCTCGAACACGGCGCCGCCCACGGTGGCCAGCACCAGGATGCGGAAGATGAGCATGACCACCAGCCACAGGCGGCCCACGAGCGGCGACTGCAGCTGCACGGCGTCCAGCAGCGAGCCCAGGAACGCCCACTCCCCCATGGCGCTGGGGACGCGGGGGGGGGGTCAGAGGCCGCCGATCAGCGTCCCCCCCAGCCCCCGGGGGGGGTCAGCTAGCCCTCCTCTGACCTTGGGGCGAGGCAGGTGCTCCGTTAGGCCTGGGTTCAGCTGGGCTATTGTGGTATCTAGGGTATCTAGGGGACGCGGGGGTGGGGTGGGGGGAGGGCAGGAGGGGTTAGGAGGTGCGCCCCTGGGGGTGCCCTTCTCCCGGGGACCACAGGCGCTGGGGAGGAGCCCCTCCCTGGTGCTCCAGAGTCCAGATCTGTAGGGAGTGAACATGGACATCAAGGAGGCGCAGCCACCCACTGCACTGTGGAAGCGGAGACCCAGCGGCGCCCTTATGTGCTCGAGGATGCTTTCCTTGGGCGACCATGGTGCCTCCAACCCCCGACTCCAGATCCCCCCTGGGAGAGGTGGGAGCCAGCAGACCCGGAGCGGCCTCACCTTCTTTCCCTGCCTGCCACTTCTCTCGCCCCTCTCATCCCACTGAACTTCTCTCAGAGTTGGGGGGTGGACACAAAAGTAGTCCCACTTCCATAACTCTGTAAGTAGTATCCTTTGTTGGAGGTGTCCCCCACCATCCCACCCCGGAGTGGCAGGGTACAGGCCCAGCCCTCTCCCATCTCCTCCCTGGTGTCCCTCTACTTCCAGTCTCCCACATCTCTTGAGAACCTCCTCCAAGGGCGCGCGCGCGCGCACACACACACACACACACACACACACACACACACTCACTCACCCAGGTCCCACAGGCCCCTGGTGCCCCCAGACCCTCACCTGACCCCACTCACCCTGTGGCTGCAGCTGAGGTGTTAGAGCTGAGGGAGGGATCCTGGGAGATGGCTGGGACTTGTTTCTCCTAGGCTCCTTTTCATTTTCCCTTTTGGATTTGGCCAGGATGGATGACAGGACAGAATGGCCGAGAGGGGCTTGCTCTCCCCCTTCTCTTAAAGGGACAGGGTGGCCCTGTTGGCTGGCTCCACCCTTGGGAACAGACACAGGGCCGTGCCCCTTGCTCGCCTTTGCCAGCCCTCCCTTTCGATCCCTAAGCCACCCCTACCCCCATCCCACTGCTGTGTCTCCTTCTGGGAATGGGGAAGGGGGTTAATCAGAACCAACTGCTTTTGACAGGGGGTGGGGGGTGTGGGTTATGGAAGCCCACCTTACAGATACCCCCAAACTGGAAGGCCTAGACCCACTATTAACTGACTGGCAACTTCCGGGCTGGAGAGAGGTTTGGTGCTGTGTTGGGGGCAGCAGCATAGTCACTGAGCTCTTCAGGCCAGTCTCCTGGTGTGTTAACTGAGGACACTGGGCCATCTGACCTCCAGGTTTCCTTCCAGTTCTATGTCTTAATGCTAAGGTCCCAGTCATATTAAGGAGAACAAAGAAAACCTGGGCCCAGAAAAAGATCCCATATGGAAACCATGAAGGCATCAAGAGTGGTCGGCATTGGTGGTTAAAAAGCTTTTGCTTGGGGCAGCCTGGGTGGCTCAGTGGTTTTGCGCCACTGTCAGCCCAGGGAGTGATCCTGGAGACCTGGGATCGAGTCCTGCGTTGGGCTCCCTGCATGGAGCCTGCTTCTTCTCCCTCTGCTTGTGTCTCTCATGAATAAATAAAATTAAAAAAAAAAAAAGCTTTTGCTTTCTTCCCGCTTTTCTGTAATCTCCAGATTTATTATAATAAGCATGTTATTTTATAATGGGAAAAATAAATAGAAAGACTTCTCTTCCCCTATAAGGCTCTGAATCACATCCTCTGGCTCTAGGTGGCAGGAAAGGCTGTCCATTAGAGAAAGAGTTCGGATGAGTCATGGTGACCGGAGTGGCCAGGGAGGGGATCCCTGAGGTTGAGACATTTTGTTCATCCCCTGTAGGCCTTTCTAGGAATCTGCCCAACCTGTACACCATTGCCCTCCTTCACCTGCGCACCTGCTCTCAACCAGGCCCTGTGCTGAGCCCTCCACACAAATTAGCTCATTTAATCCTCTTGATGACCCTGGCAGGAGGCAAGCTGGGACTCAGAGGGTCTCAGCAACTTGCCCACAGTCACACAGCAAGTATGTAGCTGGTCGCTGTCTCATGCCTGGCTTGACTGGCTGGGAGCCCATGTGCTTAAGCCCGTCATGGAACTGTCCTTCTAGCTTGGGTTTCCCAGGGTCTGACAATCCCCAGGGCTTCTGGGGGGTCTGGTGGACCCAGACTCTGCAAGTGGACCATGACTGTTCCTCTCTGAGTGGGGAAGCCAAGGCTCTCCTCCTCCATGACATTTCCTCTTTCCTTTAGCCATGGGGGCCTGTATAATTTTCCATGTGTTGACAGAGATCCCCTGGCCCGATTTCAGGAAGGGGTGGGAAATGTGCCCTTCACCCACACTGGCTCAGGGGCCCAGCCCAACCTGGAAAAACCCTAGGTTAATGATGGATGTGCTGGGGAACCCTCCCACCGTCAGGCAGAGTTCCCTTGGGAGTGGGCCTGGGTGGGGAGACACTGCCTTGGACAAAGTCCAAAGGAAAGCACAGGCTGGGGACCCACATTCCAAAAACAGGATGTGGGGTGGGGGCATGGCTGACCTTCCCAACCCTGACCTCTGCCTGCTTCTGGCAAAGCTGCTCCCCGACCCCCGACCCCCAGCCCCAGCCATGGGGGCTCAGGGACACACCTCATCTCTCCTGCCTGTCCAATGGTCCCTGCCCCTGTACTCATGGTCCCTGCTGGGTCAGGTCACTGTCCCAGCCTGGAAAAAACCCATCAGGTTGTCTGCCTGTCAGAAGTGGGAAATGGCAGAGCTGGTGGGCTCGGGTGAGGCAGGCGCATGGTCACACTGCAGTGTCCCCAGCCCTGGTGCCACAGGGCCAGACAGGGGAGACTTCAATCTCTGGGGCCCATCGTCCTTCCCAGATAGCGCTGTCCAGCCTGAGAGGAGGTGTCACTGATGCTATCCAGGGCTGGCGACACATGGCCCCATTCTTGGCCATACTTAAGATCTGGAACTGGGCTGAGAGGCCCATCCTGCCCAGGTTCACAGTCAATCTCTGTCCCAGACACTTCACCCTAGCCTGTGGGGCTGTGGAGCCATTTTGTGACATGGGGACACACATACGCAGGCACCGCATGGTTGTACCCAGTAAGTGATATCATCAGGGCACGATGGTATTGTCTCCTCCCTCTGCTCCTCTAATATTTTTTAGTCTTTATAGAAATCCTGCCTTGGGGCGCCTGGGTGACTCAGTGGTTGAGCGTCTGCCTTTGACTCGGGGCGTGATCCCTGGGTCCCAGGATCAAGTCCCACATCGGGCTCCACCCAAGGAGCCCGCTTATCCCTCTGCCTGTGTCTCTGCCTCTCTCTCATTGTGTCTCTTATGAATAAATAAAATCTTAAAAAAATAAAAAACAGGGATCCCTGGGTGGCACAGCGGTTTGGCGCCTGCCTTTGGCTCAGGGCGCGATCCTGGAGACCCAGGATCGAATCCCACATCGGGCTCCCGGTGCATGGAGCCTGCTTCTCCCTCTGTCTGTGTCTCTGCCTCTCTCTCTCTCTCTCTGTGACTATCATAAATAAATAAATTAAAAAAATAAATGCTGCCTTTTAGTGAGGCCTTCCTTAGCGGCCCTGACTAGAATTAACCTTCTACTCCCTGTCCTCTTTCTCAGCTTTATTTCTTTTGCACCGATCACTATATAACATACTTGGTACTTTTTATTTTTTATCCCACGTAGCACCCATCTCCCTTAGCACGTAAGCTCCATGAGGGCAGAGTTTTGGTGCCTTGTTCACTGTCCCGTGTCAGTACCTGGAACAGCTTCTGGCACATGGTAGATGCTCAGTAAATATTTGTCAGGTGGATGAATGAAGTGGGGTGGGAGGGTCGCAGAGGCTGCAGGTCATCTCCCCCCAAGACCCTGAGAACAGGGTTGGGGCACATGCCTCAGTTGCTCACTCTGATCACCTCTAAAGCTTGTGATCACTTAAATGGCCGATTTGGTCTGAGATCAGTAATCATAATGTCCGGTCCTGGGTAGAAATGAAAACTCCAAGACGGGTTAGTGGTAAAATTCCTCTCTTGTCTTCCTTCCCAGCTTGGCCAGGGTGGGGAAGGCTCAGGCCCCAAAGGGTGGGCGCCTGGTTTCCTGGTTGCCCTGCAGCACCTCCCTAACACCCCCACCAGTCCCGCTGCATCGCGTCTGACCCTTCAAACTCTTTCCAGGCCTGAAGATCCTCCGGACAGGCGACCTTCTGTCCGCAGGCCCTCAAGGCTCCCTGTCCTCTCCGGGGAGCTTCAGCCTGCGGCTCCCAATACCCCCCGCCGGCTCCGTGGTTGCCTCACACACAGGACCTGCCTGACCTCTCCCTTGGCTCTACAATTACTTAACACCAGGTTCGGAGGTAACAGCAAAACAAGTAGACAGTGGCTTAAACAGAGAAGCTGGTTTCCCCCCCCCCTCTCTTTTAAGAGATTTTATTTATTTCTTCATGAGAGACACACACACACACAGAGGCAGAGACACAGGCAGAGGGGGAAGCAGGCTCCATGCAGGGAGCCCGACGTGGGACTCGGTCCCAGGATCCCGGGATCACGCCCTGGGCTGAAGGCAGCCGCTCAACCGCTGAGCCACGAGGCATCCCTGTTCCTCTTACATAAAAGGAGGGTGGTGGGCTGTTCATCGATGGCAGGGAGCTCTGCGCCCCAAAGTCCTGGGGGAGCAGGCTCCTTGCAAACCCCTCCCTGGCTATGGCCCTCGTTCTCCACGGTCAGGTCAGCAGCACTGCACGCAGCGCACGGAGCTGGGACGAAGGCTGGAGAAATAAGCGCACCAAGGTGTCTCCCAGAAGCTGCCCCCGTGACCGACTGCTCGCACGTCATTGGTCAGGATGACCTTCCGCAAGGAAGGCTGGGAAATGTAGTCTTTCCCCCTCCAGGTGGCCTCGCGCGCAAGAAGGGGACTTTCACCCGCACGGTCACAGATCTGCTCCTGTTACTGGCCCTCTCCGCTTAGGTGGTGATTCAGAGAAACTCAGTTCCCTCAAGTCGGGCAGTCGGGCCCTACCAACTGAATAATTCTATTCAGGTTCTCAGCGGCTTGCATGATGCCCAGCCGCGTTGGTCTTCACTCAGCGGTGATCTTTACTCAGTCTACAGATTCAAGTGCTAATTTCTTCCGGAGACATCCTAAAAGACACTCAGCTCTCTGGGCATCCGTTAACCCAGTCAAGTTGACACATACAATTAACCATCACATGGTTTTCAACATAGCTTGCAGACATCCTCAGATTTTGCAGTGGTGCCACACATGAGTAACAGGCACCTGAGAAGGATTCCTGGCTGTACAGGTTCAGCATCATATTAGAACTAGAATCCATATATTACTTTTATAATCTGAAAAAAATTATGGGGATCCCTGGGTGGCGCAGCGGTTTGGCGCCTGCCTTTGGCCCAGGGCGCGATCCTGGAGACCCGGGATCGAATCCCACGTCGGGCTCCCGGTGCATGGAGCCTGCTTCTCCCTCTGCCTGAGTCTCTGCCTCTCTCTCTGTGTGTGTGTGACTATCATAAATAAATAAAAATTAAAAAAAAAAAAGAAAAAAATTATGGTTATTTTCATCTGGAAAGAAGACATGTAACATTTATTATATTTGTAAACTATAGGAAGATGCAAAGAAGAAAACATAAATCACCCAAATTTCATTATCCAAAGGAAAACATGACATTTTGCTGCAACTTGCAGTTGGCCTTTCTTTCTTTTCTTTCTTTTTTTTTTTTTTTTTGTTTTTTTTCTTAAGAATTTTATTTATTCATGAGAGACACACAGAGAGAGGCAGGCTCCCTGTGGGGAGCCCAGTATGGGACTCCATTCCAGAATCCGGGATCATGCCCTGAGCCAAAGGCAGACGCTCAACCACTGAGCTATCCAGGTGTCCCTGCAGTTGGCCTTTCTTTCTTTCTTTTTAAAAATATTTTATTTATTTATTTATTCATGAGAGACACAGAGAGAAAGAGAGAGAGGCAGAGACAAAGGCAGAGGGAGAAGCAGGCTCCTTGCAGGGAGCTGGATGTGGGGATCCCAGAACTCCAGGATCACGCCCTGTGCAGAAGGCAGGCGCTCAACCCCTGAGCCACCCAGGGGGGCCCACCTGCAGTTGGCCTTTCAATGCACAATAGCATACTTAAATTTCAGATTGCATCAGAATTAACTGGAGTGGTTTCTTTCTTTCTTTCTTTCTTTCTTTCTTTCTTTCTTTCTTTCTTTCTTTCTTTCTTTCTTTCTTCTTTCTTTCTCTTTCAAGATTTTGTTTATTTATTCATGAGAGACAAAGAGAGAGGCAGAGGAAGAAGCAGAATCCGTGAAGGGAGCCGAATGTGGGACTCGACCCCTGGACTCCAGGATCACACCCTGGGTGGAAGGCAGGTGCTAAACTGCTGAGCCACCCAGGCGTCCCTCTTTCTTTCTTTTTTAAAAGTAGGCTCCACTTCCAGCATGGAGCCCAACATAGGGCTTGAACTCACAACCCTGAGATTAAGGCGTGAGTGGAGATTAAGAGCCAGACTTCACCAACTAAGCCACCCAGTTGCTCCTAACTGGGGCACTTCTTAAAACTAGTACTTTTAAGTCATCTAGTTCTGGAATGGACCTGATCATCTGAATTTCTAACAAGCTCTCAGGTCATGCTAATGCTGCTGGTCTAGGGACCACACATAAAGGAGCACTGGTATGTGGTTTACACCTTGGCTTTTCCAGGTTAGGTCTCCAAACAGCAGCACTGGCATCACCTGGGAAATTGTTGATAATGCCTCTTCAGACCCCACTCCAGACCTACTGAGTCAGAAGTTGCAGTTCAACAAGATCTCTAATGGATTTGTTAAGTACAAGTTTGAGAAGCACTGGTTTATGTTTGAGACTCACACTAAAAGCTTTTTAAAATTTACTGTATTTGTAAAGATTTTATTTGAGAGAGAGAGAGGGTAAGTGAGGTAGAGAGCATGAGCAGGGGGTAGAGCAGAGGGAGAGGGAGAAGCAGACTCCCCCTGGGCAGGGAGCCTGACACTGCAAATTCGAGGACCCTGGGATCATGACCTGAGCCAAAGGATGATGCTTAACCAACTGAGCCACCCAGGTGCCCCTAAAACTTAGCATTTTATTACACTATTTACACAGTAAAACACACCATTTTATAATATAATTCAATGAGTTTTGGTATATGGATAGTTTTTGTATCTTTTTTCCCTGATACCCAATACAATGACTTTCCTGTGCTGTTAAATGTTCTGGGAAAATATGATTTTTAATGACTCTGTAATACATGGTAAGGGTGTACCAGTTTAACCATTCTTCCATTGTAGGACACTTATTCTATTCCCAATTTTTCACTAGTGTAAATAGCTACCATGAATGCTTTTGGACACAAACCTTTTGTTTTCTGGACTTCAGAATAATTTTCCAGAAGTGGAATTACAGAGGAGAGTGACACTGGGTGGGTCAGAACAGATATCTATCACTCTAGAAGCCAGTTAATGAATTAAAAAAATTTTGTCTTTGGGTTTTAGGAAAATATGGCCAGAAATCACTTAAAAAATTCCCTTGCAGCAGGAACAGTGGGTTACAATGTGTTTTAAAAGAAAAGGCTTAGTAAGCTTATTGTATTTATCAACTAATGCAAGTTTTGAATCCCTTCTTTTCTTTTCTTTTTTTTTTTTTTAAAGATTTTATTTATTTACTCATAGGAGACACACAGAGAGAGAGAGAGAGAGAGAGGCAGAGACACAGGCAGAGGCAGAAGCAGGCTCCACACCGGGAGCCCGATGCAGGACTTGATTCCGGGTCTCCAGGATCGGGCCCCGGGCCGAAGGTGGCACTAATCTGCTGAGCCCCCCGGGCTGCCCGAATCCCTTATTTTCTAACTATTCTTTTGCAATTCTAATGGATGTGACCTGTATTTATCTAAGCAATGTTTTATGTGTAGAAAATAACTATTCTATTAAGGGTCTAAATGTATATATAACCAGGTTTATTAGCACTAGAATTTTTATCTTCTAGAATGTCAATTGGCTTAAGGAATGAAGTCAAGAGATATATTCACTTGTAATCTTAGCAAGTACATTGCTGATCAGGAACAAATTTCTACTTTTTAAAAAAGATTTTATTTATTTGAGAGAGAGAGGGAGAGCAGGGGAAGAGGGACAAGCAGACTCCATGCTGAATGTGGAGACTGAGGTGGGGCTCAATCTCAAGATCCTGAGATCATGACCTGAGCTGAAATCAGGAATTGGATGCTTCTGCTTATACAAGGTAAATGTTTGACTTTTTTTTTTTTCCTAAAGAGGGTTTATGTGCTTTCCTTCTATAAACAAATGCATACTTAGATGGGAACTGATTTGTTGTTTTTTTAAATATTTTATTTGAGAGACAGCATGTGAGATCACAAGTGGGAGTGCATAGAGGGAGAAGCAGACTCCCCACCAAGCAGGGAGCTGGATGCAGAAATTGATCCCAGAACCCTGGGATCAAGACCTGAGCTGAAGGCAGATACTTAACTGAGCCACTTCACCTCTGATTTGTAACCAGGCTTCTTCACTCTATAAGGTCCTGGGTATCTTTTCATGTCAGTCAGTAATATATATGATCATTCCTAAGAAGTACCTGGTATTTCTCATTGTACCATAATTTGTTTAAGCTAATTATCTGACTGAGGTCTCCTATTGTTGGACATTGTTCCTTTCAATTTTATTATCAACTTCAGTAAGCATCTTTGCATGTGGCTTTTCTTGAGATAATTGTAGATTTACATGTAATTTTGAGAAACAAGAAGTCCCTTGTACATTTTGCCCCACTTTCCCCTCATGGTAGCATTTTGCCAAATTATGTAACTACGAGAGATTTCCTGTGTTTGTGTTTCATGGCTTTTTGCATGTCCTCTTTTTTTAAACTTAAATTCAATTAGGCACATGTCCCAATTCTTTTTCTTTTTGAGAGAGGGAGAGAATGTGGGGGTGCAGAGGGAGAGAATCTTAAGCAGGCTCCACATCCACTGCAGTCTGAGGATGGGCTGTCTCATGACCTGTGGTGAAATTAGATCAGATGCTTAACCAACTGACACCCAGGTGCCCCATGTTCCAATTTTTATTCTGAACTACATTTCCTAAAATGAGAATTACTAGCACAGAGTTTGACCTTTTGGCCCGGATTCTGATGAAATGGCTCATTTTTCCAGATCTTCATCAACCCGACCGTTGGGGCTAGGTTTAGGCCCCTGTAACTTGAGATTACTTTTCTTCTGGCATGTTTAAAAAAATTATTTATTTATTCATGAGAGACCCAGAGAGAGAGAGAGAGACAGAGATATAGGCAGAGGGAGAAGCAGGCTCCATGCAGGGAGCCTGATGTGAGACTTGATCCCAGGACTCCAGGATCATGCCCTGGGCCAAAGGTAGGCGCTCAACTGCTGAGCCACCCGGTCATCCTCTTCTGGTACATTTTTAAATGGCTTTGTTTTTGACATTTAAATATTGTCTGTTTGAACTTAACTTTGGTATAAGATGTGAGGAAGGGACTGGATTTATCATTTATCTTCTAAATGATTAGCTAGTTGCTATAATGTAATTTACTGAGATCATCAAGAATTGTCTCCTGATTATCAAAATAGTTGTTAAAACGATTAAAAAACTCCACACACCCCCCCCCCCCAAATGGGATGCCTGGGTGGCTCAGCGGTTGAGTGTCTGCCTTTGACTCAGGGCATGATCCTGGGGCTGGGGATTCGATCCCACATCAGGCTCCTGCAGAGAGCCTGCTTCTTCCTCTGCCTGTGCCTCTGCCTCTCTCATGAATAAATAAATAAAAATCTTAAAAAAAAAACCCAAAAACCAACCATGCATATTTGAAACTACTTGCTCATGGAGGGCCAAGGCCTTCAGACTGTGAAGGAGATGAAGAGCTTTGTACCCATATATAGAAACCTAGGGAAATATCTGATTGGCCTTAATTAGGTCAGGATGCCTATCTCTTAGACCTATTACTATGGCCAGGGGCTGTTAGGTAGGTACACCAGCAATAGTTCTTGGTAGGGGAAGTGAAGAGGGGTATATTTTAGAGTAAAGAAAAAGGTATAATGCAAGGGAAAAAAAGGCAACCAATGGGTTGCAATGTTTAGAACATTTTATTAAAGTAAAATACTGTTAGAATTAAGTGAAATAGAAAAACATAGTAAATATTTACAAAAACATTGATAACACCAATCAAGTCACACACAGAAATGCCTTAAAAAAACTTCTAAGTTGCAAATTATGGAGATTCTCCAAAATGGATATAACCGCTCACTGCTGAGTATTGATGGCATTGGTATAAGATCTCTCTGTCCCCCCACTTTTCTGCAATCCAGTGCTCCCTAGATATTTGTTGTTTGGGAGATTCAAACTTGGGAGACAGCTCGAGGTGACAAGTCAAGAATTGAGATAGTCACATAACTTATGGCCTAATTTTTTTCACCCTATTGACTGTGTTGAGGCTATACAGACATAGCCAGGCTGTTTCTCTTCAGCCTCTGCTAACATTCAAATGGATAAATTTCTCAATGCTTGAGGAGAAATTCCGCACATGAAAGGCTGAGCGGGGAGTATTTGTACTAGAACTATAAAATTCTATCTGATGGAAAATTACCTATAAAACTAAGGTAAAACAGAATTAATCATGTGGTATCTCATATTTACTGAAAGTAGGAAAAGAGGTAGACTAGACACTTTTACAATTTTAGCTTAATGAGTAGTCAATAAGCTATATTATGACGAAGTGACCATACAACCATCTCCAAAGTCCAGAAGAACTTAAAATCAGATTCTAAAGACAAGAGACACTCCAAACAAAGACAAAGCAGAGAAGAAAACAATGCCCAGGAGGTGGCCATTATTCGGACAGTATTATAAAAGGGTAATAGATACTTGTACTCTACACACTTCACTTTGATGGTTCTGGATTAAAACTATCTCCCCCAAACAAAATTCAGAGGGGAAGAAATGAAAGGATTCAGGTTAATTCTAAAACCTGTCTTGGGCTCAACAAGACCGTTACTTAAAATAATCACATTTTAGAACAGATCATCTTCATCTGATTCTTCGAGGTACTTTATAGGTTTCCTTGCACGTCCAGATTTGGCCCGAGGAGCCACAGCTGAGTCTAGGTCCAGATGGAAGTCTTCACTCTCCCCCTTGGATTTCTATAAGAGGAAGTCCAAATAATTTGCACAATGTTAGTCTGACAGCAACATATCACTGCAAAAAATACATCAACAGACTACAATTCAAGGAGTTTCCTTCCTTCTAATTAGTTAGAAACAGAACTAAGTAAGGCAACTCTCATTGACTAAGTGGCATATTTTTAAATGTAACTTTGTCATAACTAGTAAAAGCTAAATGGATTATGAGATTTACATTTTTTTAAATTTTTTATTTATTTATGATAGTCAGAGAGAGAGAGAGAGAGAGAGAGAGAGAGAGAGAGAGAGAGGCAGAGACATAGGCAGAGGGAGAAGCAGGCTCCATGCACCGGGAGCCCGACATGGGATTCGATCCCGGGTCTCCAGGATCACGCCCCGGGTCAAAGGCAGGCACTAAACCGCTGCACCACCCAGGGATCCCGAGATTTACATTTTTTTTTAAACATTTATTTATTTGAGAGAGAGAGAGAGAGAGAGAGAGAGAGAGTATAAATGGTGAGGGCAGGGGTGGGGAAGGCAGAGGTAGAGGGAGAAGAAGGCTCCCCACTGAGCAGGGAGCCTGACATGGGGCTCAATCCCAGAATCCTGAGATCAGGACCTAGCTGAAGGTAGATGCTTAACCAACTGAGCCACCCAGGCACCCCACATTTATTTCCTTAAAAATGTGTCAGATTAAAAAAAAGTGTCAGATTACTAAGAGCAATCTTGGTTTTTAAAACACCTAGAACAAATGGACTGACTAGGATAAATACTCACCTTGTTTGTGGCTGCTTTAGAAATCATCTTCTCAAAATTAGAGTCAGAATCATCAGAAGTGGATGGCTTCCTTTTGCGGCGATTTTTGGTTTTTGGGGGATCAGGCTTTTGAGAGACATCAGAATTTAAGTCTGGATCCTTTTGGGTTCCTTTTGGTGCAGCCCTTTTTTTTTCACCTGTAGTGGAGGAGGAAGACTGACCTGCAAATCAACACAGGCATTCATCATGTGCCCACTCTTAGATAAACTGTTCTGTGAACTTTCTTTAGCAAGCTGTTGATCGCTTATATTTAACATAAGAAAAAAAATCTCACAGAGCTGAAAATACATTACAGAACCAACATATTTTTAAGCATCTTTTTTTTTTTTAATAAGAAAGCACTCTTTTTATTTTTTTTTAATTTTATTTTATTCATTCAGAGACAGAGACAAAGGCAGAGTGAGAAGCAGGCTCCATGCAGGGAGCCCGACGTGGGACTCGATCCCAGATCTCCAGGATCACACCCCAGGCTGCAGGTGGTGCTAAACCACTACACCACTGGGGTTGCCCAGCACCTATTTTTTTTATAGGTTTATGTATTACAGTAAACTTTTATACTGCTTATAAACTCTGTCCCTGTCATATAAATGAGCTAGATAATGCCTGGCATTTTGAGAAACATGCTGATTTTAAACCTTTTAATCACCAGTTTTGATTATGAAGATCTAAATAGTTGCTTCCATTTGGAAAAGGTTTAATTTCATTAAGAGTAACTTTTGGGAATAAAAAATTGAAATTGACTTGTGGCAGCCAGTTACTTAATCCCAATATTAACCCATCTGAAAGACTGAAGCTCACTTTTTGGTGCTATCTTCTTCACGGCCACCTTCTTTTTAGGAAGGGGGTTTACAATTTCAGTTTCAGCCGAGAAATCAGCAGTAGAACCTGGAGAAAGTGGTACACTGTCCTTGGCATCATCAGCATCAAGGTCCATTACTTCAAATGGAAAGGAAAATAGTACACATAAGCAACACAACAAAATCTGTTTCCTGCTCTGAATCCCCATTTAAATACCAAGTCTGAGACTTTTCTTGAATATGTAAAACACACGCTTATAAACTTTTATCTAATTTCTGGATTCTTCATGGGCAGGTGTTTTTTGTACCTTTAGCGTCCAGCACAGTAAATGGCAAGCACATGATTACGTTCAGTATACCAAGTGTAGAACCTCCTTCTGAGCAAAACTAATCCTAATGAACATCAATGTAATGCTACTAAGAACCCACATTTATTTTCCAAGGCAGGACTTAGATAATGCAGTCTGGTTAGAACCCAGCTGGATCTGAGTGCCCCAGTAAAGCAAGACATCTCACTATTTTTACTTAAATACATACCTGAGGGGGCACTTTTCTGTGGCTTCAGTTCTTTGGCAGTACGTCTAGAATTAAAAAAAAAAACAAAACAAAAACCAACATTCTGACAACCAATTCTAACTGTGTCAAGCAACAAAGAATATATCATTGGCTACTGACAACAATCATGATAAAATTCATATGAGAGAACATACTTTGGGGAAGCTTTGGTCTTATGTGGGCTGACATCTGATGGAACAGAATCCTCATCTTGAATTCTTTCTTCAAAATCTGAGAAACTGTCGTCTAAATCCAAATCCACTGTGAATTTGGTTTTTGCTATAAAAAACATACATAGACAAAGAATAAATGAGGGTTAACAGAAGTATTTAATCTACAGATTGATAGAACATTTCATGAAGATTTAAGCTTTCATCTTCTAAAAGATGCTTTCATTTTTCAAAAACTTAATAATCACTGCTCTATAACAATTCCTGGCCATTTAGATCTTTCAGCACATCTAGCATGTTGTTCACTTTTCCTTACTTGCTGCTCTCCGTGGCTCTACCTCTCGTGGAGGGACATCAAAGTTACTTTCATTACTGCTCGTATCTGATTCTGAATCAGACCAGGGGTTTCTCTTCTTTCCTTTTTTGACGGGTTTAAACGGCAATGTAGTTTGCTTCTTTGTCTTGGTACCTAGAAGGGAGATAGGAATTAACAACCTTTACATGTTCTTCGACTCACTTTTCTCCATCTATAATCCATCCATCTTTCAAATATTTATTGAGCTCTGTGCTGGTATTGAGAATACAACGGTGAACAGAGATGGACATAGTCCCTCTTCCTGGAGCTTAGAGCTTGGTCATCTAATCCCATAAAGAAATACAATGTGTCAAAAAAAAAAAAAAAGAAAAAAAGAAAAAAGAAATACAACGTGTCTATGTGTTTTAATAAGAGGCTGCTCCAAGAAATGCTTGAGCTGAGATCTGAAGTTTAAATTAGAGTTAACTAGTTGAAGGCAGGTGGGTGATGAAACATTCTAGCACAGAAAACACCATGTACAAAGGCCCTGGGGGGAAAAATGGTACATTTAGTAAACTGAAAGAAATCCAGGGGGATCCCTGGGTGGCTCAGTGGTTTAGCGCCTGCCTTCAGCCCAGGGCATGATCCTTGGAGTCCTGGGATCACGTCCCACATCAGGCTCCCTGCATGGAGTCTGCTTCTCCCTCTGCCTGTGTCTTCTCTCTCTCTCTCTCATGAATAAATAAATAAATAAAATCTTAAAAAAAAAAAGAAAATAAAATAAATCCATATGGCTAGAAAGCAGAAGTTGGGAGACAGTGGCTCGTCTTTTAAGGATTTTGTTTTACTTTAAAATGTTTACTGATTTAAGTAAACTCTATACTTAACTTGTGGCTTGAACCCATGACCTTGAGGTCAAGAGTTCTATGCTCTACCCACTGAGCCAACCAGGAGCCCTAAGGATTTTGTTTAAACAGGGAACCAGGGATCCCTGGGTGGCGCAGCGGTTTGGCGCCTGCCTTTGGCCCAGGGCACGATCCTGGAAACCTGGGATCGAATCCCACGTCGGGCTCCCGGTGCATGGAGCCTGCTTCTCCCTCTGCCTGTGTCTCTGCCTCTCTCTCTCTGTGACTATCATAAATAAATAAAAGTTAAAAAATAAAAATAAAAAAAAAAAATAAACAGGGAACCATTATGACTAGATTTGCATTAAAAAAAATTCTCCCAGGCTGCAAGGTAGAGATTGGAAGGGGGCAAGAATAGATGTAAAGAGATCAGCAGAAGGTTGTTGGAAGTCAAGGCAAGGAAGAGAATTCAAAGAGAAAACAATGGCTAGGAACATACCTTGAGGCCTGTTTAATGGCTGACTCACTAGTCCTGACCCAAAGATTACAAGAGCAGCCTCCTTCATATTCTTTTTTTTTTCCTCCTTCATATTCTTATCAATATACCTGTCTACTTCATATATCCTAGTTTAATGTAATCTTATCTAGCATCCTCCAACAATGGTTTCTTTAACTGTCTGTAATCTGGTTAAACTATTTTTTTACTATTTCTCAATATAAAGTTCCCTTTCACTCTGTTAAGGGGGACTTTTCATTGTCCCATGTGTATTATGTGCCCATTTTTCTTTTCAATCTAGAATACCTAAATCTTATCTACTCTTCAAGACTCAACCTAAGTTTTACCTCTCCCATAAAGCCTCTACAATGTACATGCACCCACACTGATCTCGCCTTTCAGTTCCTACAAAGGTTAGTATATACTGCTTTAACTCTTGTTCTTAATAAATCTCTTGAAGGTAAATGCCATGCTCTCCCACTTCTTGTGTCCTCATATTATTTAAGAGTAATAAAACTCACGGGAACATGAGTGCTCAAAATACTCAACTGATTCTTTGGTTTTATATGCTAAAAGATCGCTAGCTAGGTTTAAAGTTAAAAGTGTGCTGCATGCATTAGATGGTCAATATATAATTTTGTGCAGTATGCAGTATGGCATACTTTTATTATTTCTTTAGTTTAATACTAAGATGTTTCCATATGTTTTATTCATCTTGTATTCCCCACAGAGCTGAGTACACATTATCTATTAACAAAAGTAGATACTTAAAATTAGACTTATAGATTAATCAATGTAATAGAGTTGAGAATCCATAAATAAACCTTAATATTTATGGCCAATTGATTTTTGACAAGGGTGAAGACAATTTTAATTAATTAATTAATTAATTATTCATGAGAATACACAGAGAGAAGACAGAGAGAGAGGCAGAGGCACAGGCAGAAGGAGAAGCAGGCTCCATGCAGGAAGCCCCACGTGGGACTCGATCTGGGGTCTCCAGGGTCACCCCTGGGATGAAGGCAGGTGCTAAACCGCTGAGCCACCCGGGCTGCCCTATTTTTATTTTTTTAAAAACACTTCATTTGAGAGAGAATGTGAGAAAGAGAATGAGCTGAGGGGGAGGGGCAACGGGGGGTGAGAGCAGGGAGCCCTATGTGGGGCTCTATTCCAGGACTCTGGGATCATGACCCGAGCCAAAGGCAGACGCTCAACCACTAAGCCACCCAGGTGCCCCAAGCCTCTGACTCTTGATTTTGGCTCAGGTCATGATCTCAGGGACCTGAGAACAAGTCTCATGTGGAGCCCTGTGCTCAGGGTAGTCTTTCAGATTCCCTCTCTTTTTCCCCTGCCCCTCCTGGACTCATGCACCCGTGCTCACTCTAAATAAAACAAAAATCTTAAAAAAAAGTTAGAATACATAAAGATATCTTACAACTAACTCAACAACAACAAAAGATAAATAACCTACTTAGAAAAATGGGCAAAGGGTCTGAATAGACATTTTTCCAAAGAAATATAAATGACCTTTAGGCACATAAGATACTCAAAATAATTAGCCAATAGGGAAATGCAAACCCAAACCATGAGATACCACTTCATATCCACTAGGATGGCTAGAACAAAAAAGAGTGACAAGGAATTAACTGTGTTGGTGAGGATGTGGAGAATTGGAGCCCTCCTACGCTGCTGGAGGGAATGTAAAATGGGGCAGCTGCTCTGAAGAACATTATGGCAGTTCCTCCAAAGGTTAAACCTAGAAAAATATGACCCAGTAAAATTCCACTCCCAGGATCTACCCAAAAGAAATAAAAACCTTAAGTCCACGTAAAAACTTATATACAAGTATTCATAGCAGTGTTCATAACAGCTAAAAAGTGGATATAAGCCAAACACTAATCAACTGATGGATAAATAAATAAAATGTGTTATATCCATACTATGAAACACACTATTTGGCAATAAAAAAGAATGAAGTATTGATACATGTTACTATATAGATGACCACCAAAAACATGCTAAGTGAAAAATGCTGGGGACAAAAGACCAGATGTTGTAGGATTTTATTTATAGGAAATGTCCAGAATAAAGTAAATCTAAAAACAGAAAGTAGATTAATGGTTGCCTACGATAGGGGAAATTGGTAGGAAATGGGAAGTGACCATTAACGGGTAGAGTGTTTCTTTTTGGTGCAAAAAACTTTTAAAACTGTTGAGTATACTAAAATGATTGAATGGTACACTTTAAATTGATGAATCTTAATATGTGAATATCTTAAGAAGTTAAAAAAAGGTAGATATTCAGCAAAGGTATAATCAAATGTTAGTAGAATTCTTTTTTTTTTTTTAGAATTCTTAATTCTATTAATTTACTGAGTGCTACTTACATCCCAGGCGTGGTGTTCAACTAGAGGGATAATATAAACATGGCTAAGATGTGCTCATTGTTCTCAAGTAGTTTTATATATTAATATATATTACAGTCTTATAATTGGCTAGAAAGTGGAATTTAATAAACTGAGAGTGTTTTCTTTGGATCTCAACTAAGGAATTCAAGTTGCTGAATTAACAAACTATTTAAAAATCCTTTCTAGGGATACCTGGGTGGCGCAGGGGTTTAGCGCCTGCCTTTGGCCCAGGGCGTGATCCTGGAGACCCAGGATCGAATCCCACGTCGGGCTCCTGGTGCATGGAGCCTGCTTCTCCCTCTGCCTGTGTCTCTGCTTCTCTCTCTATCTGTGTGACTATCATAAATAAATAAAAATTAAAAAAAAAAAATCCTTTCTAAAATAAATCATATCCAAGGACAGTATTAGGGAGATTCAAGTAAACTCCAGACATAGCCCTCCCTCATATTACTCAGCAGGGCTTTCTAATCATCTATGCGGAATGTACTAGGTATCAGACACAATTTAATCTCAAGTCTATACCATTTTACTAAAATATTTTAATACCTGGTTCTCTTTTCTGTTTCTTCTCCAACCTTTGTTTCAGACCTTCTATTTCGATACTCTCTTCTTGAGGGCTCCCTTCAGTGTTTTCATTCTAAAAGACAAAGATGGTCAAGCTCTGCCAACTTATTTGGAAAAATGTAAGGTCAAATATACAAATATATATCTGGTCAGAGTGATTTTTTTCTTTAAGTTTTGGTTAAGAGCTCTGAATAAAGGTACGGATATAACTTTTCCAAGATACTTAACCATCAAAAAAATGAGGATCACAGGAAAGCAAAGTTATGATTAAATATAGGATTAATTGCAAACTATGGGATTAGAAATTTTATATCATTTGTTCAGTTTTAAGCTGAAAAAAGTTTTATCTATAACTTTTCAATAGTACCTTAGTTTTATTTTTTTTGAGAAAGGTTTTATTTGAGAGAGAGAGAGAGAGAAAGAGAGAGAGAGAGAGAACACGAGTGGGGGGAGGGACAGGGAGAAGCCGACTCCCCACCGAGCAGGGAGCCTGATGTGAGATTCTACCCCAGGACCCTGGGATCATGACCTGAGCCAAAGGCAAAGCTTAACTGACAGCCACCCAGGCACCCTACCTTAATTTTCTTTTTAATTTTCTTTTCTGCCTCTGCTTTCATCTCTATGGTCACTCGGGGGATGACTCTTTTCCCGCAAGGAGAAGGCAAAACTTCAGCCATTTGTGTTTTTTTCCCCTTTCCTTTCCCTCCTTTCCCTGAAAGTCCTATCTGTTCTTCTTGTTTTTCCTTTGTTTCAACAGCCTACAAAAGAGATAAAAGAAAGCAAGTTTATAAGTCAACAAAGACACTACAAAAATCAGGCTACTTTATAGAAATAGAATAAAAGGCAACAGTTAAACTGATTTCAATTTGTTACATCTTAAGATAAATTTTTAAAAATTTATGTGTGCTATCTCTATACCCAATGTGGGGCTTGAACTCATGACCCTGAGATCAAGAGTCACAAGCTCTTCCAAATGAGCTGGCTAGGCATCCCTCGACTTAAAAAGTAAATTTGTGATAAGCTGTGCCACAACTAAGTAATACCACCAATAATAGTGAAGATATCATTAAGGCCCATTTGACAAGTGTGGAGACAAAAGACTGGGTTCTACTCTTGATTCTACAATTTAAGCCTTCTGAAGATAAAAAGGGGACACTGTGCTGGGGACAAAATACATAGATACATATAAACATATTTGTAAACTCAAATAAGAAGTGAAAGTATGGGATTCCACTTGTATATCCATACGGAAGTATGACAATATAAAACTGTATGTTAAGTGTTCTAGCTTAATTTATGAAATGCTTTTTCTTATCTTAAAATAGTGTAGGAAAACAAAGCAAATTAGGGAGATTTAGATAACAAAGTATCTTCTGAATCTACTGATTAGCTAGCCCAGAAGGTAAACATCTTTGTCCTTTTCTGTGTTGACTTGGGAGATTGGATTGGTCTTTTTCCATATTTAAATTATCTTTATGTTCTCAGTCACAGTCAGTCAGAAATCAACTCCTACCTTTTCCTCTTTGTCCAAAAACTTCTAGGTAGCATGTTTCCGGGCATCATTTACTTTATTCTAACAATCGTTTTTTTTTTTTTTTTTTTAATGTGTTATCTTGGAATGTTTTCTTATGCCTCTTATATTCTTTGTCTTGCCAATTATGAAATTTCTTGACAAAGACGTATATTGCTAGAATGTTCTATTTCATTAAAACTCTAACATGGGCATTATGAACTACACACCTCCAGCTCTTCAACGAAAGTAGCCAAGTCTTCTTTCCACAAATCTGTTGGACTCTTTTTCTTTAATGTTTCTAGTTCTTGCTCCTTCATAAGACAGTCAGAAAATTAAGAATTAATTTATAGGCATAAATAGCACACAATTTTCATGAAGCACAGTTTTTACTTTCACCATTAGAAATGAATAACATGTACCCTCCATTAACAACTCACTTTTTCATTTCTCAGCTTGCACAGTTCATCCTTCTTCTCCTTGGTGAGATACCAAAGAGGCATATCAAGAAGGTAGTTAAAGGTTGGTCCAGAATCTCTTACAGAGTCACTCTTTTCAGCTTCATTTTCATTGTCACTCTCTTCATTCTCTTCTTCATCTGGTACCTAGAGGAAGAATTAAAATGTAGCTTTAACAGGAAATGTGAAACAGAGACATTAGATTATACGTAGTTTTTAGTAACATAGAAAATGCTAATTAAGAAATTACCTTTTGCTGAGCTTCTTTCCAAGCCTTCACAGGATCCGAATCATATCCCCTCTGAATCAGAACTTTAATTAATTCTTTCTTAGGCTTATTTTCTATTAAAAAAAATGTAAACAAATAATTGTTTTGAGCGATATTTTAGGATAGGAATATGGTTTTACCATATTAATTCAAAAGATTAAAACTAACAATTAAGCTGTCTTTGTTTTGCATCAATTTATACTTCGTGGTATAGAGAGGTCTTTTTCCTAAACCGACAAATGTAAATTACCACAAGGGGGACAGTCAAATCACATATGAGATTGTTGACCTGATTGTTAACACTAAAAGAACAGAAGACAATCAAAACTTTTATTTCTAAAAACAAAAAACAAACAAAAAAAAACTTTATTTCTGATAAGTATCTACCTCAATTATATTCTCTTTTAAGATTTTTAACATTTGATTGGACAAGATTTTAGTGCCACCAACCCAAGCACTGATTTCTGCATGCTGTATCCATTCCGGTTTTCTAGAGTGCCTTTCTTCTAGTAACGACTGCAGTCAATTTATTACACTTTGAGAGATACTGAGTTACTAGCTATAAGGTATTTCAGAATGAATTTCTGAGCACTATCGTTTACCAATTAACTTGATATAGATTACATGTTTAGACTCTCTACACTTTTATACTCAGGAAGACTGGATAGTCCCTTATTTCCTAAATTCCGGTCAACAAGATACAGTCTTTACTTTTGTTTTCTTTGAATCATGTCCAACATCACTCATTTTAGCCTTGTCTTAAACAATAGTTCTATGAAATCAGGGGGCGGACATGCTAGTGTTATTAGTTTTAAAAATAGAAAATTATTCTGTGATCACCAGGGACTCATGTTGCCATGTTTTGGGGACTTGCTACTATAATCTACAAGTTAGTTGCCTAGCTTTCCCAGTTAGTCCTGGCCAAGGTTGAGCTATTTTTTTTTTAACCTTACTAACACTCCAGCTTTTATAAAAATTGTTTTCTTCCTGCTCACTTAAACCCTGACTTAGTTGCTTCTAGAATATCTTTTTAAAAAAAGATTTCCTGGAAATAGCTCTTTTAGTCTTCAGTATGCAATTTACTTGTAATATAAGCCATTTATAATCTTTGTTCCAGCCTTTTTCTCCTCTCTGACTTTTTTTTTTAAAAGATTTTATTTTATTTATTTATTTATTCATGAGAGGCACACAGAGAGAAAGAGAGAGAGAGAGAAAGAGAGGCAGAGACACAGGCAGAGGGAGAAGCAGGCTCCATGTAGGGAGCCTGATGTGGGACTCCATCCCAGGGTCTCCAGGATCATGCCCTGGGCCAAAGGCAGAAGCTAAACTGCTGGGCCACTGGGGCTGCCCCTCCTCTCTCAGACTTAACATTTCTTCTCTTGATCACTTTACACAGGTATCTTTCTAGCTCTCTATTCTCTGTCTAAATGTCAACCAAATCTTGATTTCTCAAGATGTTCAATCTAAGAAAAGCTATCTTTTTCAAGCTATAAATGCCTAGATATTTGAAAGAAATTCTTGTAGAAGTAACCAGCTGAACTAAAGGATTTTGCTCTCCCTCCAAATGTTTAAAGTTAGGCATTATTGTAGTTTTAGTGCAGATAGTTATTATTTTTTTTCAGATAGTTATTAATCTGAAAACATACCAATAATTATTTTGCCATCTATTTTCTCTAAGATAAAGCGAGCCTGATTGTTCAGTTTAGCAGATTCAGCGCCAAGCATTCCTAGAAGCCATTCTTTTCTTAATCCATAATATTTAAGCCTTAGTTCAAAGAAGTCTCTTAGAATATCCAACACTGTGTCATATTTCTTTAAACAACCTACATGGTCAAAAAGCACCTAGAAAATAAACATAGGATTAGAGCCAAGAAGAGGTAAATTGGCTAAACTTTAATGGTTTTAGGAAAATGACTTTCTTCTTCAAAAATATAAAAGTATTCTAGGATATTCTTTTAAAATTGATATTAAACTTTAATATAAATCAAACATGGGTACCATTAAAACATACCATGGAGTTGCATGTGAGACTAGTTTGGAGTTTGAAGACTTTGTGTAGCCCCACTCTCTCTGCCTCTGCCAGTTTCTCTTCAGTCATCTTCACAACAAACTTCACAGTGGTGTCTGTATGGTACTCCCTATAATCTGTTATGAGAGGTGGTGTCTTCTCAGTGCCATTCAACATGGGTTCTAGAACCTGTTCTTTATATGTCTAAAGAAAGGCATAATCCCCTTGTAAGTGTCTTAAATACAGGCTTAGGAGTATTCAACAAGCAGTAGTACAAAGTGTTTCTCCGATCACAAAAATCAAAGAGGAAATCCACAATTACCTACCTGGGTCCATGTTCTGACAGGAAGCTCTGAGATTTCAATGGTTGTGGAATTAAGTATAGCCACTTCACCACTAATCACATACTGATTTGGAGCCAGCTCTTCAATAGTACCCCTGAAGTTCTTGTAACTTGGAAGCTAAATTGGTATTTTAAAGAAAAATAGGTTTTCTAAATGTGACACTAAAAACAGAAATCCCAATAGCATTAAATCTAATGAACATGAAAGGGCAAAACAAATTTTATATGTGTCCTCTTTAACCATATAATCTACTGAATTTAGACCAAAAGGAAATGAAGGATCCTGATACACACAGAATAGTTACCATTGGCAAAGGTTCTTCTCCATCCATCAAACGCCTGATATTATTTACAACTTCACGAATATCAAAGTTGGGGATTTTGCAGGACCACCCAGTACCAATTCCTTCAGCACCATTTATCAGCACCATGGGTATAATGGGAATGTACCATTCAGGTTCAACACGTTGATTGTCATCATATAGAAACTTTAAAGTCTGATCATCTTTTGGTGGAAACAATAACCGAGCCAAAGGGCTAAAGAAAACAAAGAATGTTATTTTACAAAAATATTGGCTTTGATATTTAACTTGTAAGAAGGATATATGTTTATCTCATATCTATGCATGAAAATACTTTGGCTTTATTTGCTGATGAATAATCATTTAACAGTATTTATTGAGCACTTTTGTATGTGCCAGACACCACAAATATAAAGTATCTAAAGAGATCACATTCTACTATAGGGAGAAAGGCAATGGACATACATTTTGTCAGGTGGTAGGGTAAATGCTAAGAAGAAAGAAAAAGTAGGTAAAAGTGATTGAGTGATTGAAGGTGCCGAGGAATGGTAACACTTTCTGAAAGGATAATACTAGAGAATAAATTGAGAGAATGAGCCATCATATGCTTATCTGAAGATTATTGTAAGCAGAGGGATCAATAAGTAAAAAGCCCTGAAGAGTGTGCTTGGCATGTTTGATTATAGGCAGAGGCCAGTTGTGTTTGGAAGGGAGATTATGAGATGGGAGTCAAAAGATATGGGGAGTGGACACATAGATCATGTAAAGTCCTTTAGATTTTACTCTAAATGAAGCAGTTAGAAGGTTCTGAACCAGAGTGATCTACTTAAAAAAAAGAAATTAGTTGGCTTCCATAAGAAAGAAGAATGGTAGACTATATTACTTTAGATAAATGGGATGCCTTAATATTTGTCTAATGCAAAGCCCGTAGGATTTGGTGATGGATTGGATGCCATTGTGAATAAAGGTGACTTCACGGTTTTTAGTCTGAGGATTAGGATGATGGTGTCCCATTTACTGAGACAGGAAGACTAAGAATTTTGTTTCAGACTTAGGTTTGAGATACTTATTAGACATCTGAGTGGTAAATATTGAGAGACAGCTGTAAGAGATTCAGAGTTGGAACTATTGAGACTAGATGGATGGATTATCATCCATGGATGGGAAGTGAGTGTAGCTAGTGGAAAGAGAGCTAATGAAGGAATTTCAGGGCAAGCCAGTACTTATAGGTTGGAAAGATGAGAAAGACCCAGGAAAGAAGACAAATAAGGAAGAAAGCCAACAGTTTGGTGTCTTAGAGGCCAAATAAAGAATTTCTAGGAGGATAAAGTGATTATCCAATGCTGCTGAGCGATTGAATAGGATGACAGCGGAAAACTATTCATAATGTACTTTCCATACTTATAAAGGAAGTAAAATTTCAACTATGATATTTAGGAAAAATTAAGCTCTTCTTTACTCTGATCCCAAGTCTACAGCAGGGTTTCTCAACCTAGGCAGTTTTGACACTTTGGATCAGATAATTCCTTGTTATAGGGGGCTATCCTATGCATTATAGTGTATTTAGCAGTATCTCTGGCTGCTGCCCACTAGATGTAGCACAGCTCCCCTAGTCATGACTATCAAAAATGTCTCCAGACATTACATTATGTCTCCTGGGAGATGGGGTGGTAGTGCAAAATCTACCCTGGTTGAGAACCACTGCTCTATACAATGAAAGAAAAGAAAATATAAGAAATGGAAGTAAAAATATTAGGTTGGTAAGGAAACAATACTTCTAAGAAATTCAAAGGCATGGCTATCAAACTGAATTAGAATTTAGATTGTTTATTGTTCTTTTTAAAGAATTTTATTTATTTATTCATGAGTAGAGGCAGAGACATAGGCAGACACAGAAGCAGATTCCCTGTGAGGAGCCTAATGCGGGACTCAATACCAGAATGCTGGGATCACACCCTTAGCCAAAGGCAGGTGCTCAACCACTAAGCCACCCAGGCGTCCTGAATTTGTTTATTGTAAAGAGTAGCATAATTAAACTTAAATGAGCTAGTTAAAAAAAAAAAAAAAGAGAATATTCTAAGTGTATCAAAATTACATTTTCTGATTAATTGAATTTTTATATTTTTGGTCAACTAAATTCATTTGAAAATTAGAAATGGCAATTCACTAGAAATTCAAAGCATACCCACCTGAGCATTGTGAAGATGTATCGAGGACTAGCAGAATCCTTGCCACCGTGCAGCCTAGTACCAAACTGACCAATGGGCTGCAAGAGGTTCAGATTATTGCTACCCACAAAATTCTGAGCCAAATTTATAATGGTCATCATTAGTGACATCTAGAGGTGGAAAAGAGATTCGTTAATCAGATCTGGAGGCTTTTAATACATATCCATTATGACTAAGCCCCACTATAATCCTGTAGGGTTTTATGAGGTGTAGATGTTTATTGACTCTTCCCAGATAAATACATGGCAGATGTACATAAACCCAAGACTTCTGGCTCCAAGGTCAGGGCTCTTGCCTTCTAATAGTTTCTATCAAGTCCTATTCAACCTTGGGGGCATAGGTCTTCTCTTCACCTTTAGCAGAATGAAGCATATCCTTGTTTGTGTTACAACACTTTGCTGTTTTTCTATTCTAGCATGCATCACTTTAATCTATAGTTGTGTGTGCGTGTGTGTGTTGGCCTTCTATTTAAATTGTGATTATACCCTGAAGTAAGGAAAATATTTGATTTTTTTTACCCTACCCTTGCTACAGGGTAAGCATTTGACAAATATGTGAACATTTACCAAATGCTAACAATATTTTAATTGAAAGCAACAAGCAACATAATCATTACGTTTAAAGTTCTAGAAACCTATAGGCAACTTAGTTCTTTAAAATATAATGAATGCAAAAAACTATAATCACAAAAGAAAAAGGGAATATATGTTTGTATAAAGTTAAGCAATTCAGAAATATAAAAATTAGAAAGTTGTCCTTTTCAATTGACAGGGATAACCAAAGTTAACAACCTGGAGCACACCCTTCTAGGTATTTTGCTTTAAGTATTGTTCTGGCTCTTTTTCTCCTCACTAACAATGGACTGTGGATATTCTCAATGTTAGTACACACAGATTTACTTCGGTTATATAATTGATTCCAGGCATGGAAGTGTCACAATCTACAACAATTTTCCAATTGATGGACATTTTCAATGTCTAAATTTTAGCCTCACAAAGGTATATTAAACATCACTAAATATCTTTGAATATAGTCACTTGTAGATTTATGAGTCCCCTTACCAGAATGTTATTATTATTATTTTTTAAAAGATTTTATTTATTGATTCATGAGAAACACAGAGAGAGAGAGAGAAAGAGAGAGAGAGAGTGCAACAGGCAGAGGGAGAAGCAGGCTCCATGCAGGGAGCCTGACGTGGGACTCGATCCGGGGACTCCAGCATCATGTCCTGAGCCGAAGGCAGATGCTCAACCCCCAGGTGTCCCTCATGTTAAGGTTTTGTTTGGCGAGACTGAGCTGGCCCCTACTCCCGCAAGCCTAGCTCTGGCCTTTCTCAGCCCACGTTATGGCTGCCAAGTGCACAGGGTCTCCAAGATCACGCCCTGGGCTGAAGGCAGCGCTAAACCGCTGAGCCACCGGGCTGCCCAAGATTATTTTTAGAAATTGATTTGTTAGGTCAAAGGATAAGCACATTTACAGTTTGACAGATTTCACCAAATTCAGGGCTCTTGCCTTCCAATAATTTCTATCAAGTCCTATTCAACATTGGAGGCATCCTCTATTATGGATAAACAAGTGTTCATCTCATCAAGTACTCTAAGTGTTTGGAAAATGATTTTGCAGGTATTATCGCTATAATGCTTTCTGGAAACATTATGGATTGTGTGTTTACCTCACCATGATGATAAGAGGACATCTCAGCCACTGACCCAGCCAACTGGGCAACCTTCACCTCTCGCTTGTCATTCCGTTTGAAACAGGTAAACAAAACCTTTCTTTGACCTGGTTTCAAGCCTTTAAAATAAAAGAAGTACAAATATTAGTATCCTCAACATCCTCAACTTTACTATTTTTTGACATTGATTTCTATGTAGGACAAAAACAGGCTAACAAATTGGAACTCACCATCCACCATAGATGGGATAGATCTCTCGTTATCAGAATTTGAGAACAGGATAAGTTCCTTATTTATAAAGTCATTGTATGTCAGATATGTGGTAGTTTGCCCATACAAGTAGTCCTGAGGGATCAAAGAAAGTATTACATGATCTTGTTTAAAATAAAAAAAGATCATTGATTTTAATAATGCTTGAAACAAACAAATATAAAGAAATAAAACAAAAATCTTTCATCATATCATTTCTGAGATAATTCTTAAGTCCCTCAAAGATACAGAATTATATAAAAGTATTTTACTGTTTCAAAGATAAAGCAAATTAAAACAAAACAAAACAAAACAAAAAGATAAAGCAAATTTAATTGTTGCACAATTAAGAAAATCCGCACTGCCTTTTTATTTTTTAAAGATTTTATTTATTTATTCATGAGAGACACACACAGAGTGAGTATGAGTGAGGCAGAGACACAGGCAGAGGGAGAAGCAGGCTCCATGCAGGGAGCCTGATGTGGGACTTAATCCTGGGACTCCAGGATCATGCCCCGGGCCGAAGGCAGGCGCTAAGTCCGCTGAGCCACTCAGGGATCCCTACATTGCCTTTTAATTTTTTTTTTTTTAAGATTTTATTTATTCATGGCAGACACAGAGAGAGATAGAAGCAGAGACACAAGCAGAGGGAGAAGCAGGCTCTATGCAGGGAACCTGATGTGGGACTCGATCCTGGGTTTCCAGGATCACACTCTGGGCGGAAGGTAGCGCTAAACTGCTGAGCCACCTGGGCTGCCCTGCCTTTTTAATTTTTGAGGCTCCATACATTTATGCAGCAATCTAAGCACATTCATATAGTTGCCTATTATTAAGTTTTTTACTGAAGCTATTAGTCATTGTGTTGTAGGATTTTTTTTTTTTTTTTAAGATTGAGAGAGAGCACGTGCAGGGCTGTTGAGATTGTGAGAATCCCAAACAGGCTCCCAGCACAAAGCCCCATGAGAATCCCAAACAGGCTCCCAGCACAAAGCCCCATATGGGGCTCAATTTCATGACCCTGAAATCACAACCTGAGCCAAAATGAAGAGCCAAACCAAATGAGTCATTCAGGTGCCTGAATATATACAGTTTTTACCTCAGGAAGGCCAAGTAACTTCCGTTGTCTTCTATCTTCCATGAAATGAGTTAACCATTCCTTTCGATCATCTATCTGTTTCTTGCTAAAGGCCTACAAATTAGAGATAAAAATAACATGTCACTGGTACGAACAGTCTTACTCAGTTTCCTAAAACATATGGTCCCTTTCTCTAGGATATGTTTACTAAAAACATTCTATATTCTATAAAACATTTTTTTAAAAAGATTTTATTTATATTCACTTGACAGAGGTAGAAAGCATAAGCAGGGGAGTGGAGTGGCAGGCAGAGGAAGAGGGAGAAGCAGGCTCTCCATGGAGCAGGGAGCCCGACTCAGTGCCTGATTCCAGGACTCTGGGATCATGACCCGAGCCAAAGGCAGACACTTAACCAACTGAATTACCCAGGCACCCCTATAAAACATTCTACTATATAAATATTTATGCTCCAACTAACTAGTTAAAAGTAGTGATTTACAAAACTAGAATGTATGAAACAGAATTCAACTGACCAAGCTGATGGCAGCATCATCTTCAGGACCAGAGTATTTGAACTGAATACGATGTCTTTTCATATCTGCAAAGTATTCTTTAGCTTCTTTTGATGTGCTGGTACCCAAACCTACACAACCAAGAATACTAAGTTACTCCATATAATCTTGTATAATGGTTTAAAACAAAATGAGAAATTCTATGTGGGTTTCCTTACAAACCTTTGTAGTACTTGACTTTCCATTTTTTATGATTTGGAGTAGAACTCTTCCATTCTTCAAATTCAGGAAGGCTATAGAATGCCATTTCTTGTTTGTTTTTAGACACCTGTGGTAAAGAACACATTGCTGTGGTTTTGACTCGAGTCCCCTGTATACTGTACATCATGGGGTAAATGTGTATAAAGTGTTGAGTAGGGCCTTAAAATATCCATTATGGTAATTTAGAAGTTAACATACCTTTACAATCGGAGTGATAAATTCCTCCAGAAAACGATGCCGTAGAAGAGAGGGCCAGTTATGATGGATAAAATTAATCAGCAAGCCTTTGATATGGGAACCATCTTGGTCCTAGAAATATTTGGAAAGAAAAAACACAAAATAATTATTTCAAAACTAAAAACAATTATGCTTGACCTACTGGTAATTTCTCTAAAATTTTTCTATGGGGATTAAAAAAAAAGAAAAAGGCTATTCAAATCCAATCACTTAACCTGTATGTATAACATACCTGTGATGAATAAAGCTCCAGGTTAAATAATTTCCTTCCATAGCAGGAAAGCAATGCAACAGTTAAGACATGTTTAATTTAGTGTAATAATCTAATACATTTGAAAGCAAATCTGACCTGATCTGTCATAATCATTATCTTCCCATAACGAAGAGTCTTCAATGAATCTTCATCTTCATAGTTTTTCTTGTACTGAAGACCCACGATCTTGATGATATTATTAATTTCAGCATTTTCCATGATCTAAAATGGATATAAAAGGTAATGTTTTGCTTATAAATCTGAAAATAAATAGGACGGTATATGTTGTTTGGATTTTCTTAAGCTCCACTATTTTCAATTATTAGCCTATACTTTAGTCAGAAAGATCTGTTAAGATATGCTACAATATACTCAATGTCTTAAAAATAATAACAATAAACTATCTAAAATAGGTCTCAAAATGCCCAGTGAGGGAATGAAATAGAAGCATGAAGTCCTGCATTATACAACTAGATTTAGATTCTAAAGATGGTTCTACCTGTTTATGAGAAGCTTCTCGAACATTGAGTATTTTTCCTCTAAGTGGGAAAACTCCATATTTGTCTCTCCCAACCACACCAAGGCCTGAAACAGCCAAAGTTTTAGCCGAGTCTCCCTCAGTCAGGATAAGTGTACACTCATTGGAGTTTCGACCCCCTAAAATAAAAATACACAAATTAATATTGGAACATTTAGTTCAAACCTCAAATATACTAACTCAGACATGCTATTAACAGTTTTGTGATAAAACACTAGTAATTAGATATATATTAGAACTAATGTTCATAGTAAAAAAAAAATCCTAGTTTCTCAGACGATTTTTTTCTGAATTTTCTGAAAAATATTTTATTTTTTAAAAAGATTTTATTTATCTATTTGACAGAGAGAAAGAGGGAAAGAGTGAGAAAGTATGCACAAACATGTGGAGTAGCAAGCAAAGGGAGCCTGATGCAGGGCTCAATCTCAGGACCCTGGGATCATAACCTGAGCTGAAGGCAGATACTTAACTGACTGAGCCACCCAGGCACCTCTAAATGATTTTAAGCAATCTCCTTACCTACCCAACATGGAGCCTGAAGTCACAACCCTGAGACCAAGAGTCACATACTCCAACAACAGAGCCAGCCAGGTGCTTCTCTTATGCTAATTTCTCGTGATAGTTACACTATTGCTGGACATTCATTTGATCATGTTATGTTAAAAATATGTTAGTGATGGGGTTTAGAACTCCCCAAAATAGGGCACTTGGCATACTAAATATTTTAAGCTGAAAGAGCTTGAGAAAATGCTAAAAGCAAGTTCAGTCTGATCTCATCCCCCAACCTTCTACCCTGAAGCAGATCATGAGACCCTAATGTAAGAGGTGCCCTCCATATACCACAGAGGAAGGGAATGTTCTTATCTCCCAGAGAGACACTGAAAAGAATCTGAATGAGTGGGCCTCACTGAGCTTCCCCCCGTTTACTATACTTAGTTCATACTCTGCTCTTATCATATCTTTCTACTTTTCCTCAAATCTAACAAAAACACTCAGGTTTAACCCTCTCTTTGGGGCGGCATTTCCCTATGAAAGCTCCTGTGTCAAGTAAAATTTATTTAAATATATTTGTATGTTTTTCATCAGTTAACCTGTCTTTGTCAGTTTAATTTTTAGACCCAGTGGGACTCCTTGGTGGCTCAGTGGTGGCTCCTGGGATCAAATCCCACATCAGGCTCCCTGCAGGGAGCCTGCTTCTCCCTCTGCCTATTTCTCTGCCTCTCTGAATGAATGAATGAATGAATAAATAAATAAATAAATAAATTAATTAATTAATTTAAAAAAATTTTTTTTCCAGATCCGGACAGGACCTAAGAGGTTTCAGGAAAACTTTTGCCTACCCTACATTAGATAATAGATCACTATATATATATATATATTTTTTATTTTTTTTATTTATTTTTTTATATATATATTTTTAAGCAGGCTCCACATTCAGTGCAGAGTCCAACGCAGGGCCTGAACTCATGACTCAAGATCAAGACCTAAGCCAAGATTGTGAGTTAGACGCCTAACTGACTAAGCTACCCAGGCACCCCAGATCACTACAAATTCTTATTTTATACTCTTAATAGTCATCTCAACATTAATGTAACAGTCAAAAATTAGAAATGATCTCAACATTCAATAACATGGAATTGGCGGATTTTTACCCATGGAAAAATACTCTGTTGAATATTACATGTTGAGGGGAAAGTATTGATGGTATGCTCTTAATGAATAAAACAAATAATCAAACCAGATGATTTAATGTTTGGAAGCATTATTAAATGTGTACCTGCGTCATTGGCATCATCAAGTTTGGGAATTCCCTTGATTCTGTTATGCTTTACAGCTGAACACTTCTTGTTTAATTGGATTTGGGCCTTAAACTTTACCCAGTTTAGAATGCTTTCCACAATACCACAGCCAGTTGCCTGAAAATGAGAAGATTCACATTTGGGAAGAAGAGTTTGGTTAGAAATCTAGAATACAAATGTGTTCCTATAAAAATAAAAAGAATCCAAAGTTTGCAAAGAGGCAAAAAAAAAAAAAAAAAAAATTCAGACAGAGGCTATGTCTTCCTGTCTTAGGTTATCATAACTGAGGGAACTGGTTCCTTTGGTTCATTCGTTCAATAAATACTTACTGACTACATATTTATGTTGTGCTAAGCACTGAGTCCATGTTGGAGATTTAGTGATTAAAACAAATTGGTCAGGTCCTTGTCTTCATGGACTTTAAGATACAACAGTAAAATGGAAATAAAATGAGAAATTACAAGTGTGATGAGCATTATGGATAAAAGTGTGCTACATCCAGGAAGCATTTCAGGCAGAAGGATTACCATGTGGAAAAGCTCTGAGGAGGGGGGCAAGAGTACTAATGCTACTGAGTAATTTGAAGACAGTATGACTGAAACTTAGATAACACAGGAAAAAGTGATACTGAGATGAGGTTGGAGATGGCAGTCTTATAGGCCACATTAAAGAATTTGGTCTTAAAAAGATTTCTTATTTTAATTTTTAAAGATTTATTTATTTGAGAAAGATAGAGAGAATGAGTACATGCAAGTGGGAGGAGTAGCAGAGGGATAGAGAATCCTAAGCAGACTCCCCACCTGAGCACGGAGTTCAATGTGCAGCTCCATCTCACAACTCATGAGATTAGGACCTAAGCCAAAATCACAAGTCAGGCACTTAATCTACTGAGCCACCCAGGGGCCACCCATTTCTTTTTTTAAACATTTTAAGTAATCTCTATATCCAATGTGGGGCTCAAACTTCTAACCCGAGATCAAGAGTCACATACTCCACTAAGTCAGGAAGGTGCCCCTAGACTTTTTCTAAGGGTGGAAGTTACCAAAAGACTTCAAGAGAATGAAGACAAAAACGTGTCCTTTAAGACAAAAAGATTACTCAAGAGCATTGAAAAAGAAGGACTGAACTGTTACGAACATTAAGAATCATTACAGTAATACAGAAAAGAGATGATAAGTGAGAGGCTACTGAAGTATCCAAAAGATGAGTCTTACTGATTGGATTACAGAGGAGGCAGGGGGGTAAAGAGAAGGCTCTCAGCTTTGTTTATGCAACCTAGTGGTTGGTTAGGGACTTTTATTAAGATAGGAAATAGTTTCGTTTTTTGGGGGTGGGGAAGTTCCTCATATAGAGGTCCAGTGAGTACGGAAAGAACCAAAACACAGTTTTGGATGTGTTGACTGAGAGTCAACTTTAGGCATTCAATGTTTGGTACGCAGTTAAATGGGCTGAGTTCAAAAGTGATCTAAATTGAACAGTGGGGCAGCCCCGGTGGCTCAGCGGTTTAGCGCTGCCTTCAGCCCAGGGCCTGATCCTGGAGACCCGGGATCGAATCCCACATCAGGCTCTGCATGGGGCTTGCTTCTCCCTCTGCCTGTGTCTCTGCCTCTCTCTCTCTCTCATGAATGAATGAATAAATAAAAATCTAAAGAATAAATTGAACAGCGATAATGTAATGGGAAATATATAGGCATATAGATGATAATTAAGGCTGTAATAAGACCAGTGAGGTGAAAGCAATTTTTTACCCTTTTTCAGAGGCAGAAGACATATGGGAGGAATCTTGGCTTTTGCAGAGCAGAGAAGGGCAATGGAAATAAAGCAAGGTGCTTCTATTTCTTATTTCCCTGTAGATACTCACAGCTTTGATGAATTTTTCACTTAATTGGCATGTCGATCCAAAGCTCTTGACTTGTAAAGTCATGTTTTCTTTTGTCTGAGAGTCAAAGGTTGGGTTTTCAATCAAGGCATTCACAAAAATCCACATGTGATTTTTCACCTGCAGGAAAAGTTGATATTACATCGCTATAAACTTATGCTTTATTTATAGCCTTTCTCTTACTTTAGAAAAACTGCTAAAATATCATACCTGATGTGCTTTTACTGCAACACCACCCTTGTTCTTCTTCTTCACAACATCAACAAGTTTACTCACAATCTGATCAGCTATATAATCAACATGTCTGCCACCCTAATGGGGAAATAAACCAAACTGTAAAGCTCACCATCCTCAAAATTATGATAATGACCAATTATTTTTAAAAATCTAACTTAGCTTTATGCCAAGGCAGCCAAATATCCGAGTTCATTTTATTCATTAAAAATGTAAAGATAAATCATGATTAATACAAAAATAAAATTACCTTGGAGGTAGCAATGCTGTTGACGAAGCTAATTTGCTGAAAGCCTTTTTCACTCATTGTTAAACATATTTCCCACCTGGGGTTTACTTGTTCATGGATAATTTTCAATGGATTGCCAGTTTCATCTACCTTATCCTTCAGATACATATCTACGTAGCTACGGAATCCTTTTACCTGTACAGGAATTGAAAGTTATGGTATTAGAAAAAAGTTATAAAAAGTATCCAATGATAGACCATGAAGATTTTTCAAAACTAATGATGTTCAATGATGGGCATAAGAGAATTGTCATTAAGGGGTATAATAGGATTTGTTTAGGAGACTGAGAAAAACAGTTCTTTTAGTGAGTTTGAAAGAGCTAAGTAAAAAAATGTAGCATACTGTTATCTTTTCAGGAACGTATCTTAGAAGTGGTAATGGGAGGAAAAAAAAATCAATTTTGCCTCTAACGATGATCTTTATATAAAGTCCCTCACTGCTCTTAACAACACCCCAGAAAATGCTTACCGGTAGTTTATTTCCATTGAGAAAGACTTTGACATCTTTAGTGGATCCAGCAATATCGTATGCTCTTCTAACCATCAGTGCAACAATGTCTTTATCTAGGCTTTGCATTTTAAACTTGGACAAGTCAGGCTGGAAGGTAATACATGTATAATCTTCCCCATTAAATGGCCTGAGTTCCATCTCACCAGCCCTTCCCATGTTATCCATCCACGTCTGTGAAAGTAAAAAATAGGAAGATAAAAAATTCAAGTCTTTTCACAACAAACTAGAAAAACAAATTTAGAAGTCCTAAAAAATAACTTAATATATGTTCATGAATAATTTTCCATGATTTAATAGCTTATAAATTACATTAAATTAAACCAGCCATTAATGCTGTTATAAATTGCTAAAGTACAATTTATAATTGAGACACAGGATACTTATTTACTTGCCTGTTTGAACATTTTCTTGTATTCTCTACTGGCTGTTTCCACAGTAAACTTGGTACTGAATATGTTACACAATTTGGCCCCATAGCCATTTCGACCACCTGAGCAAATAAATGTAAAAGACTTTGTTATCACTGGCAATGCAAATCAATTATAGAGATTTATTATTATTAAAATATTGGAATTTATGCCACAGTCACTTAAAAGTGTGCTTTTTCAGCAACAAGTATGTTATTTTCCTCCATACTCTACCTGTTACTTTCTTTTCATCATCATCATAGTTACTAGAAGTTAGGAGCTGTCCAAAGATGAGTGCTGGGACATACATCTTCTCAACTTTGTGTTCAACAACAGGAATACCTTTCCCATTATTCCATATACTAATTAAATTGTTTTCCCTAAGAAAGGAAGAATGAAACTTTTATTGTAAAATACATGGTTAAGGGCAGCCCCCGGTGCTCAGTGGTTTAGTGCCACCTTTAGCCCGGGGCCGGATCCTGGAGACACAGGATAGAGTCCCATGTCGGGCTCCCTGAATGGAGCCTGCTTCTCCCTCTGCCTGCGTCTCTGTCTCTCATGAATAAATAAATAAATAAAATAAAATAAAATACATGGTAAACTAGTGCTTAATATTTTTTATACTTAAATGTTATTCTTAAAATATAGAAATTCTCAAGTCTCAATTTCTATGACTTTTTTTTAAGACTTTATTTATTCATGAGAGATACAGAGAGAGAAAGAGAGAGACAGAGACAAAGGCAGAGTTCTAAGAAGCAGGCTCCATGCACGGAGCCTGACGTGGGACTTGATCCTGCATCTCTAGGATCACGCCCTGGGCCGAAGGCAGTGCTAAACTGCTGAGGCACCCGGGCTGCCCCCTCTATGACTCTTTTTCATACATATATTCTGAAATTCAGCATGAAGTACTTTTCCCACCATGTTTAGTTCCTGACACTCCTGAAATAGGAGCCAAGAGGAAAAAAAAATTAATCCCTTCCAACACCTGGGCAGATACTGATAATGCCGAAAAAATATTAAGTTTTAAAATGTTAGGATAAACAAAGGGAAATGATTTATGCTCAATGGAAAGGACAAAATTTGGAAACAATATCATTAAACTGTTTTCTTTTTTGTTTTTTAAAAGATTTATTTATTTGAGAGAGAGAGAGAGAGAGAGAGAGAGAGAGAGAGAATGTTTGAGGTGGGGAGAGAAAGGGAGAGAAAAATCCTAAAGCAGACTCCTTGGTGGGCAGAGCCCTACTTGGGGCTGGATCCCAGGATCCTGAAATCATGACCTGACCTGAAATCAAGAGTCTGACACTTAACCGACTGAGCCACCCAGGTGCCCCTATTATGTTGCTTTTAAGAGGATCATCTATCTGTACTGCCTAGCAACCTTAGCTTTCCCATCCAACAAAGCACAATGCAAAACAAATATGAAAGGGAAAAACATTACCAATTGTAAATTGCTCTGCTGGCCAAAAAAAAAAAAAAAAAAAGCTAAAAATTTATTTGGAGTTATTTCTCTCTTATTTTTTTTTTAAGATTTTATTTATTTACTCATGAGAGAAAGAGACAGAGAGAGAGAGAGAGAGAGAGAGAGAGAGAGAGAGAGAGAGAGAGGCAGAGACACAGGCAGAGGGAGGAACAGGCTCCATGCCAGGAGCCCGATGTGGGACTCAATTTACGGGTCTCCAGGATCACACTCTGGGCTGAAGGTGGTGCTAAACTGCTGAGCCACTGGGGCTGCCCCTTTCTTGTTTTTTTTAAGTTAATTCTCATAAGATAGTAGCTCAGTTATAACCAGATTAACACTACAGATCTTATTCCAAGTTATGCTTAGTATTATCTACAAAAAAGACTAAAACTAGCTCAACATTTGTTTAAAGACTAGGATATCAAGCCCTTAAGGAGCATTCAAGTACCTCATTATCACACTTCCCCCAGAGAACCTAAAGCAGTTTATGCCATAACAGATCAGGCTAATAAAAAGGTGAAACAAGCACCTTGAGTACCCACAAAGGGATACCCAGCATTTATAACCAGAAATATTAGATCCAATTATTCTCTATCACCACCTGCTGGTTTCCTATTTGAATAGCATCATGAGAAAAAGTGAAAGCTCTAGACTCCAGAATGCTTAGAGCAATTATTGGAGATGCTTACTGAAAAATTTAGGGATGAAGTATCATAATGTCTGTAATTTATTTTGAAATAACTGAAAAAGTATAGATGGAGCAAAAATGGCAAAGCGCTGATAACTGTTGGATCTAGGTGTAGGTATCAAAGATTGTTCATTGTAGCATTCTGCTTTTCTGTGCTTTTGCAGAATTTCATTTAATAAAAAGGTCAGTGTTAGTATAAATCAAAGTAAATGCAACTAACAGTAACCACGAGCTATAACAAACAAAAGATCATGCAAGAGACTTACGGGTCAATTGTGACTCTAATACAAGACATTTTTGGGTCCCTTTGTTTGTTGTCTGCAGCATTGACTGAAAGAAAATACACATTTGTAAGAAACTGAAGTATTAGAAAAAATTAAGATATAGAAAGAAAAAAGCAGTATTAACTAGGTGTTAATTTAACATTTATTCATAGCACTGTTTCTAGGAAAGAATTAAACTTGCCAGACTCCAGTAATCTTCTTCACCTTGCCAGCTATTGTTTGAAATGACAGGAGCTCTGGTTATAGAGGGTTTGCTAATAAGAAGGATACTTAGGAAGGATTTGACCAGTAGATATTTATATGAAAGAATTTACTCACCCAGAATCTCATCAAAGATTTTGTACAACCCAGGGACAAAGGTGACTTCTCTATAGTTCATGCCAACATCTTCATCGTAAACCCACATTTGCTAGAAATAAGGCAAAGAAATATAGTTACTTTTCTTTTTTACCCTATATTTATTGTTTTATCATCATTATTATATCTGGATTAAATACTACAACATATATATGATAGCTTAGGCCAGGTCTAGTGACACACAAAGTACGTGGAATACATAGAAAATTAACCTGGAAAAGTACACATTTTAACTACTTCATAACCACATTAAATTACTTGGTTTTACCTGGGTCACTAATTCCACAGAGCCAATGTAGGTGTCCGGGCGGAGCAAAATATGTTCCAGTTGGGTTTTCTTTTGATAGATCCTTTCAATAGACAGTCTTTTCTTAGCATCTTCATTTTTCTTTGTTTTGCTGATTTGCATGTTTTCATTTACCGGCTAGCAATTTCAGAAAATTGTAGAAGGGGGAATTTTTCAATGAGAGGTTTATTAAGAACCGCAAACAAAACACCCACCGTAATGATTTACCCACGATGACAAGCCACCATCATTTTACTAGGTATTGGTGGAGTTCCTATCGTTTTTGTACCCACACAGCAGTTTGAGTTAACTGCAGCCAAGTTCCCAGGGTTCAGTTTGAACAAACCTATCTCATCAAGTGCGTTGTGACATGGAAATATTTCCCTTGAAGGTTTTATTCATTTATTTTTAATTTTTTTCCCCTTGAAGGTTTTAGAGGTCATCAATAAAACACACCCGCTTCTTTCAGACCTTCCGCAAATATTTACCGAGTGCCTGCTGCGTCCCAGGCACACAACAGATTCTGGTCAGCCGCAGTTTGGGAGCCCATCGATTCAATCGTTTGGCTACCTTAACGTTTTGAACACAGGAAGGACATATTTTGAGCCGGCTCCTCACTGGGGAACGTCGTGCCAGGCCCTGCACCTTCCCAAGGTCAGGGGCATTCAATCTCCTTTTCCACTCGAGGGTAGGAGAGCAAAGCACCTGTGCAGCTTAGGGCCACACGCGGACTATTATTATAATACAGGAGAGTTGAACACCCGCCCCAGAAACAGTAAAACAGAACCCTACACTCCAGAGAAGCCGGTGTAGCCGGTAATATTTCACTACTAGCACCATAAAGGAAAGCTATCCTCTTCACGATCACGCCGGGCCCAGCAGACCGCGGACGACGCGCAAGGCCGGCTCCAAGCCGGCGGCACTCGGACCACACACAGCCCGGGAGCCTAACCCTTCGCGGGCAGCCAGGGAGATGCCGGGCCGCGCTGAGGATCCACGACCTGCCCCTTCCGCGAGCTGTACCTGCAGTGGTGACACCTCCATGGTGACGGTCGTGAAGGAGCTCGAGAACCCTGCAAGCGACTAAACCGGCGGACCCTCGAGACCACCACGGAGCGAGCCTCTTCTCCACAGACTCCCGTCGGTTAGAAGAGCTCCTCCAGTCGCGTTTGAACCTCCTTGCAGCCCGCCCAAACCAAATAAGCCAATCACTGACCCGCTCTCACCGACTCCGTCCCGAGGAACCAATCGCAGCTGACTTTTTATTTTCACCAATGAGCGCTTGAGTTGGGCGGGAGCCTGTTTGAACAAACCAATTAGGCGGGGGGGGCGGGACTAGAGCGGTTCCAAAAGGCACCGCTCGGAGGCGTAGCGTAGAGATTGACAGGGACACTGGCCAATGGCGGGGGGCTTACTTGTTCCCTCAGTGCCGGCAACTTTGAAGAGACTCCGGGTGCAAGCGGGGAGGGGTTTCCTGAGGTGCGTGCTCGGGGAGAAGGAAGAAGGGGAAGCGTTCCTCAGGCCCTGCTAACTTCTTTCAGATTCCTGAACTCTGTAAAGCGTCTTCCGTCCTGAGGGTTTTTAGCGAGAGGAAGGGGAATCCGAGCTGCTTTTTCCTGGGGAAACTGAGCGCCGGCTTTCTGGGCAGGCAGCCTGGCGACTTGGTAACGCGGACAGATGCTGGCGCCTGCCTCAACCTCCCCTCCCAAGAATTTGTTTTCGAAGAAACTAGAGCGCTACCTTTGTGGTTTTGGGGTATAATAGAAGAGAGGCCGCACAAAATAGAGAGCAGCATTCAAATGCTCCAGTGGAGCGGCGTTTCTAGAAGAGTAGTTTGTAGTTATCACCTCAGGAGCCGAGAATGGGGGTTTAGGGGCCATTAGTCTAGGAAATTTTTCCTTCCGAAAGCCGGTGGGATGTCCTGCTGCTTGTTACTTTTGCTTCCGTCTGTTAAATTCCCTGAGTTCTGCTATCCAGGAAAAGGTGTGTTCTCTCATTTGACGAGAACATTCCAAAGACAGAAGTTGGGTGGTGGTTTTTTTTTTTTTTTTTTAAATTCTGCCCCGTAAATGTTTAAGCGGGTTTATTCTGTCCTTGTTAATCCACAATGTTAAAATGACAAAAGAATGTGTTCCTCGCCACCCGCCCCAAACTGCTTGAAAAAATAACTGCACAATTTGAATGACTGCTATTTTTGTCCTCTGAGCCACCTCTTTCCAATCGTTATAACCTGAGTTTCTATCCCCGCTGGACCTGGACAATTTGCCAGTCATGTGGTCTTGGTGGAGGCAGGCACTTGGCGCTTGTTTTTTTCTGAAAAAAGAGGATAAAAATGACACTAGTACCTTAGAGTTGTGTGAGGATTACCTGGGATAAATGTAAGGCGTTTATTATAGTGGGCTAATGGCATCAGAATCAGGAAGCAGGAATCTCCCGTAGCCTGGTGTGACAATTGGTGACTATCTTTCTTCCCCCCTTCTACAAGAAATCTAAAAGAGGTTAACAAATTGTTTATTTTTAAAAGACCTTATTTTCATTTATTCATGAGAGACTCACACAGGCAGAGACATAAGCAGAGGGAGAAGCAGGCCCTGGAATCACAACTTGAGCCAAAGGCAGACGCTCAACCACTGAGCCACTCAGATGACCTATTAAAAAAAAAAAATTTTTTTTTTGTGACATGCAACATTTTAATAGAATTTTAAGTGATGATGTTGTATACTAGGATATATTAAAATTTGGGGTATTCTATATAATTTCTGGAACAATTAAAGCGTTTACCCACATAATGTAAGCTAAGAAAGTTTATCATTTAAACATTAAACAGCAGGATGCCTGGTGGCTCAGCAGTTGAGCATCTACCTTTGGTTTAGGGCGTGATCCTGGGGTCCTAGGATCAAGTCCCACAAGTGGGCTCCCTTCATGGAGCCTGCTTCTCCCTCTGTGTCTCTCATGAATACATAAATTTAAAAAAATCTTAAAAAAATAATAAATAGCAAATAATTACCTATAGTATAAGTAAATGCACATTTACTTACACCTTCTATTTAATTTCTTAGCAGACGTCAACCAATTGTTAAATCACCTCAGCATATCCAATGCCTACTCTGCCAGCAAAGCCCCAAGAAAGGGTAGTGTGGAGGTGGGGTGGGGGGTTCGGGGTGATGTTACAGGAGGTGGAGGATGGAGGTAGCCTGTGGGCTAGGGTCATTTTTTTCACCTGGCCTTCAGTAATTCCAAGTGTTTCATTCCATTCTCCTCACCGCATCTGTTGAAATGGATAGGCAACCTCCAATGCACAGGATCACTCCGGGTCTCAGAGTAATTGTAGGGAAGCCTACCCAATCCAGTAGCTTCTGCCCATCCAAAAGGGTGACCAGGCCCTGGGCTCCAGGGCAGCTCTCATTCTCAAGTCTCAGAACAAAAAGATGATCCTGACAGAGACCAGCCATTCTGCCTTCCACCTCCTGGAACACAGAGATCCCACATGGTAGGGGTAGGATGGCAGCCTAGCCTCTGCCTTTCTTGGCTTCTACCCTGTAGCTCATCCTGGGGGTACATCCCCATGCTTGGGGATGAGGCAACAGGAATTTAATAAGCAGCTCCAGTCCTATTTTCTGGGATCCTGCAGTTTAGCTTGACCCTGATTGTGTACTGTGGAGTCAAAAAGATTCTGGAGTCACAAATGCTTGAGTAAAAAGCAAAACGAAACAAAACAACCCCAAAAAAACAAAAAGAAAAAAACAAAACAAACCTTCCTGAGCCTCAGTTTCCCCATGTCATCATCCTTTATTAAAAGTACAGAGGGTTAAATGAGATATGAAAGCGCTTAGGACAGGATGGACATCCTGCCCTCTAGCAGGATGGTCTTGTGGGAGTGCGGTTGGGGGTGGGGCTTCTCTTTAGGACACAAACTGTTTCTTTGTCAACCCCTCTCCTTTTCAGAGCCCATCACAGGATGTTCTACAGGGAAGTCTTTATTTATTTATGATAGTCACACACACAGAGAGAGGCAGAGACATAGGCAGAGGGAGAAACAGGCTCCATGCACCAGAAGCCCGAGGTGGGACTCGATTCCCGGTCTCCAGGATCCCGCCCTGGGCCAAAGGCAGGCACTAAACCGCTGCGCCACCCAGGGATCCCTACAGGGAAGTCTGAGACGGGTGGGTCTGGGAGGCATTGTCCACAGAGCAAATTCCAGGTGCCTGCTAGCTACTACTCCTGGGAGGCAACAGGGGGTTGGGAGTCAGTTCCAGGGGGCCAGGGGAAGCTACCACAGCCTCATTACCACCACCCCAACTTTATAGGGGGTCCAAACCAGCTACTCTGTGCCTTGTTCTCATCCCTACCCCTACCTAGGGGCAACATTAAGTACTAGATTCATACTCCTGGCCATAGTACTTGGCTGAGTGTATGACCTTGGCAAGTCACTTAGTTTCAGGGTGTCTCCATTTCTTTACCTAAAATGGGGATAATGAGAGTGCCTCCGCATAGGGGAGATAACACGTGTAAAGTGCTTAGTGGATTGCTTGGCAAATAATAAATACTCGAAACATGTTAGCAGTTACTACCTCTACTCCTTTTCAAGATCTTCCCCCTACTTCTGTTGTTGATTCTCCAAGTCATCTCCTCCAAAACCAATTCAAAATTCCCCTTGTTTAGGGAGTATTTTTAGACCCTTTTTTTCAAGGCTTCTTCCAGTTGTTTGGAGTATATTTGCAAATGCAGATGAGTTCCTTTGATAATATTTTTTGGTTTTCTTTGGGCATTTTTTTTTAAAGATTTTATTTATTCATGAGACACACACACACACACACACACAGAGAAGAAAGGCAGAGACACAGTCAGAGGGAGAAGCAGGCTCCTTGCCGGGAGCCCAATGGGGACTCGATCCTGGAACTTCAGGATCATGCCCTAGGCTGAAGGCAGGTGCTAAACCACTGAGCCACCGGGGCGTCCCTTCTTTGGGTATTTGTGTTTTCTGTCTCTCCACTGGGCAACAGGGGGAGGAGGTCCTAAAGGAGCTGTGTCTCCATCCTTCACGTAGGAGTTCCTTTTGAAAGTGGATTATTTCTTCCCTCTAGCTCGCTGACTGAGTGAAGGGAGCTGGGCTGAAAGTGTGGCTCTAGATTTTGGGGGATAGAGCTGGTTAGGCTGGAGCTCACTGGGAGTTCCTATATGAGCTGGGCTGGTCCAGGGTCTGGGGTATGGTCCCATGAGTCCTTTTTACCAGGGATACCAGCTTTGGGTTGGAGGAGGCCAGGAAAGCCGGAAATGTCCCATGGAGCTCAGCTTCTCCCTCTTGGTGGCACTGCAGGTGTGTTTCTTGGATCATTAATGGCCCCAGGTAAAGGGACAGTGAGGGTCATCAAACAGAGCTGGGAGGTAAGCAAAGGAGGCTACAGTGAGGATGAACTCAAGACTAGAGATTAGCACTGGGTGTTATACTATATGTTGGTAAATTGAATTTAAATAAAATATACTTGGGCAGCCCCGGTGGCGCAGCGGTTTAGCGCCGCCTGAAGCCGGGGGTGTGATCCTGGAGTCCCGGAATCGAGTCCCACGTCGGGCTTCCTGCGTGGAACCTGCTTCTCCCTCTGCCTGTGTCTCTGCCTCTCTCTCGCTCTCTCTGAATAAATAAATAAATAAATCTTTAAAAAAAATAAATAAAAAATACTTAAAAAAAAAAAAAGACCAGAGATTAGTCCCCAGTAAGTCCGCTCAGGGGTTTCCCTCAGCAGTCTGGCAGTCCAGTATCTATCAACATTTTAAAAGTGCACACACCTTTGGACTCAGTAACAACATCTAGGAATCCTGATACACTCCCGCAATTGTGTGTGTGTATAAAATTATTGCAATATTGTTTTTGTTAGAAAATAACTGGTAAAAAAAAAAAAAAGAACTGGTAGCATGGAATGGAACGATACTGTGAAAATTAGTAAAGGGAAATCTCACTAAAATGGAGTTAGGAAGCCAGAAGGGGGAGCTCTCACATCCTACCTTTCCTCATCAGTTGCAGACCCCAACAGGAAGAGAGGTACCTTGCAAATCCATACTATAGCTACTTCTTTACTACCCCAGCTGGAGGAAGAAAGATTTTCTCCCCTTCCAGTAACAACAGCCTAGTCAATGAGAGATTCAGAATTCAGTCAAAGAAAAGCTGCTAGGAACCC